CGGAACTAATCGTTGAAGAATAAAGTTGACTATGAAGTCAACTTATTACTTGTATGCGCTTGCGCACCTTAAAGACTCAAATGTTGCGTGAGAAAGAAGGATTGAAAGCAGAAAAGTTTGTAAATAAAGTTGCTTACTGAAGGGTGAAACGCTTTCCATGAAAAGTATTTTGATCTTCCTACGTGCATTGACTTTTGTGTCAAGCAGGAAAATTATTACGCTTAACTTTCTTCTTTTCTAACTTGTGATCATAACATTGATAGAAAACTAACAGTCTTGATTACGTTTTCAATAATATTTCTATGTGTTTAATGTGTTGTGATAGATCCATGCAATAATTGATATAGCGCAATTTTTACATAAATTAATAAATTAAATCTCTCTTTAATTATTTATGTATTTAGTGAAATATTCTCTTTTTTTCGGAAAATAAAGATGGACATTATCGAGTATATTATAAATATGTAAATAAGAGTATTATTTGAAATTCAATATTTCATATATGTATAATATTTTTTATATTATTATTACGAAATTATACTTAATTCAATCACAACTATTTCTGGTGTAAGTAAAAGTATGTGACAATGTATTTATTAGGCGATATAAACTATTTAATAAAAAAATATATTTAAACAATATTTTATATAGTATATATTGTTTAAATAATTGCATTATAATAATGCGTGTATGCTACACAATGTTGATTTACACAATTTTATATTATTAATAAATACTAAATGTGGCTTACGTTATATTGATGATTATTAAAATTTAAATATTCATTCAATTACATTTCGGAGCATGTTAAAATATGCTCCAGCTGTTTTCACGACCTAAAATATGTTTAGAGTTGCTAATTTTTTTACGTATCTCCAATAAGAAATAGTCGTAAAATCATGTCGTTATTGCAAATTGTAGATACGTTTAGTGAAGTTGATATGCATGAATACATGTTACACTCTCTATATAAACTAAGATTTTTTTAAACTAGAGACGATCTAATATTGTTTATAAATATTGAACATTGATACTTATTTATTATTGCTGTCAATAATTTGAAATTCATCATGATAAAAAAAATATACATAATAATATTTTATAAAAAAATTATAGATTGTGCAGAATTATATACCAAGGAATATATTAATTCTTACATTTACTTACATTGCCAAATGTCTCAAAAGACAGATCAACGACATTTCCAACAGAAATCTTGGTCGGTGCAGTAGACATCAGCATCAATAACACGACATTACGTGCTTTCTTGTCCGGAAGACGATACCATTCGAGTTCACAAGATTCAGTAGCTACTATGTCAGCCTGTCGTTGATTTATTACACGTAATATAATAGTCACAAAATTTATTCACATTACATTTGATTTTTATAGATAGTGAAACATACATTTTTAATATTTTTGGAAAGTTAAATTTTATTTTCAACATAAAATAATAAGTTTGTAGAATTTTCACAAAATATAGTAAGAACTAAATTCAAGAAAAAATAAATAAATTTCAATGGTTTAAGAAGTTCAAATTAAGTCTCAAAAATAAATTGAATTCTTCCAATTGTGAAACATTTTCTTTAAACATACAAGAGGAGGGCTTCGTAGCCAGATTTTTTTTAACTCCACTATTATTGTTTGTTTTAAAAATTGTCAATATTTGTAAAACATACCTGAATAGTAAGTTGTTCACCAGTATAGCAAAATAGAAATATGTGAATTGTTACATTCATAATACTTAACAAATACATGCATACAACTCCTATACTCCTATTTTGCCAATCCTATAAATAAGGATTGTACAATAATACTTTACTTTGTACAACAATAATTATTGATTTATTGTAAAATAAATTGTAAAATAATTTGTTGATAAAATTCTTGCGTTATTTTGGAATTTAAAAATCAAAATTTTGTATCACAAGTAATTGCATAATTGTTGCGTTTATTTATTGTAATTATTTACTCGCATATATGTCAAAATATTAATTTTACTTTTTCATTAGAGTCAATTGGGGAACATACAAACCATTGTCATAAAGTATACCATAAGACAAATGGTTATCGTATTCACCATAATTTCCATTAAATATATTTCTTGCAAAGTTTTCTGAACCAATCGTAAGAAACTGAAATACAATTGCTAATAGTGGCGAATCAATATTATATACATCAAAAAAATAGAATAAAACGTTGTTAATACCACAAGTTACAAATTTTAGTAAATTATTAGTAAACATATTTTAACATAATACTCTAATTAGAAAAATAAGTAATATTTATAAATCGCAAAACTTACCTACGCACTCTTATGTGATGCTCGACTATCTCGGCTAATCTCTTATCCATTTCATATTCTTCTTCCCATTGTTTTTGCACGAGACTCTTTAACAAGTCGACAAAAATTTTCAACTGACCGCAAGCATGCACCACGAAAGTTGCTGTAAGGCCGCATGCACATATCACAATTGAAACAACGACGTATCCTGCTAAACTTTGAGTTAGAAAAATCGTTTCATAAACAGGGCTAACTTGTAAGTCGAGGGAGAAAAGATAAGTAGGACAGGGCAAGAACCTGATTGTGATATTTTGATCAGCAACAATTCTTTCTTGTAACAATGGCAATACTGTTCGGAAAGTAAAAACATTACTATACATAAAAAGTGCACAGATTGTAGCCAATCGCTTTCCCTTCTTCGCGAATTTGAGCATAATGTTTCGCGTGTCCGTACTGAGAACATTCTGCCAATCTTCCTCGACGTGCTTCAAGCATCGTCTGAGTTGACTATAGCGAAATATGAAGATACTGTATTGACTGGCTGACATTAAGTCATAGAGAAGAAAGGGGATTGTCTGAAGTCGACCACGCATTGTCTTCTCCACCAGGCAGTATAGAAGACAAGGTATAGTGTCAAAAGAAAGAAGAAAATAGGAGGCAAATATTAGCAAAAACTTGCAAATTTTTGAGTTTATAGATCTTTCACTACTGATGGACGGCCAGGCACCGAGAGTAAGCAAAATGTTGCGAGTCGGTTGTGTGATATATAAAACAATGTCTTGATATTTGTTTTGCAGCATTTTTTGACGTTCTGTGATACTTTTTTGCTGACAGATCTATGCAATCTTTTTTTTATGTAAAATTTGAACGCAAGCTGAATTGTAACTGACAGTCGCAGAGCAAAGCTAACTATAAAGTCAACTCATCACTTGCACGCGCTTGCGCGATTTAAAAATTCAATATACGTTGCGTGAGAAAAAAGATTGAAAGCAGAAAAGTTTGCAAATCAAATCGTTCACTGAGGGATGAGAAGTTTTTTATGAAAAGTATTCTTATCCGCATAAGTTCATTGGCTTTTGTCATCAATCAGGAAAATCATTATATTTAACTTTCTTTCTTTCTTTCTACATTCTAATGTACGATTGCAATGTTGATTGAAAGTTAATAATTATGATTATATTTTTCAAGAGTATTTTTATTTGTATCGTTGTTTGTTATCGATGCATGTGTGTTAATCAATCGATATATTAAAATCGTAATTCTTGAAAAAAATTATATGTACAGTAGATCTCCGTTATGTAAAATGGGGGATACGTTTCGTGTTATACGAGTCATACATATATGGATTATGCATGCATATGAAAACACATATTTATAAAAGATTTTATATAAAGGTTTATTATAAAAAATGTAAAGTGAATGTTAAAGATGTAGCTTTTATACGAAGAGATTCGAATGTGAAAGTGTATTTACAGTGTTATTCGAGGCTCTTTTACCGTGTTATAAGAACACTGTCACAATTTTTCTGTCATATTATACGAGTCCGTGTTATACGGAGGTCCATTGTATTGCATTGTATTGTAAACAACTTATCTTATTTTAGGAGATAAAAAAGAAGGATATTATCAAATGTATTATAAATAAATATGGATATTATTTGTGATTCATTAATTTTTATATACAGCATTTTCCGTGTTATTATTCAGTTATACTTACAGCAATCTCTAGAAATGTTTAAGTAATTAATAAATTGCATTTTTAAAATAATAATTATTATTGTTTATTCGGTGACTGTGCAAAGTATATTAAAATACACAACAACTGACTTCATCACCTAGAATAATTAAAAAAATGTTTCTTATAAATAATTATTTTTTAGCACTGAAAAATAATATATCCAAAATGAATCACATTATAGACAATGTTTCACATAAATATTTTGCTTACATCGCCAAATGTCTTGAAAGAGAGAGTAATAAATTTTCCTGCAGTAATCTTTAATGGAATATGTGATATAAAAACCATAAGCACAATATCACGTGTCATTTTTGTTGGAAGACGATACCATTCTAATGTATTTATTGTCCAAGCTACTTGATCTGTCTATTATAATAAATTTTTATAGTCTTAATATTAATCAGAAATATTAATTAAAAAATAAATATAAAATAATAAAAAATAAATGTATTATAGATACTCAATGAAAGCTTACCGTTGCTGTAATATGTTCACCGATATAACACAGAAGAAAAATATTAACTGTGTCGGAAGCTAGAGCAACTAGAAAAGTACACACATTCGCAGTATTTCCATCTTGCCACTCCTGCAAGTTCAAAATGCACTTGGTTGATTATACATTGTTGCATATAAAATCATGGATAGATATATGAATTTTTATGAATAGTAATACATGTATAATAGAAAATTTTATTCACCGTGACACGGATTTGAACGTTCTGCCTACCATCAAAATACAGTATCCCACGAAACACATCATGATTGTGTTAGCCAATATTTCAAATAAACTACTATATTGCAGTGTATCTTCTACCAAACACAGGAAACTGAAAGAAAGAGTATTATCACCGTATAATCGAAAAAGAACGCAAATTTAAATTTAAAAAATTTTAACAAAACACTTCACTTTCGTATCCTTATTTGATGCTCAACTACCATTGCTAACTTTTTGTCGACAATTTTTTCTTTACAGGTCTGTTTATCAACAAATTCTTCCATTAATATCATCAAAATCTTCATCTGTGCACATGCGTGCATTACGAGAAGCGCAGCGAGACCGTATATCACAATCGTGACGGAATACATGACAAATCCGCCGAAGAACTGTAGCAAAAATACAATTTCATAAGCAGGACTGAGTTGTTCGTCAAACAGGACGAAGTAACCAGCGTAAGCCAACGGTCTAATTGTGATGTTTTTACTGGTAACCATTCTTCCCCTCGACAATGGCACGATTGTATGATAAGAGAGACCGGCAAAATATAAAAAGGTACAACAAATGGTAAACATGTGTCTGCCTGTTTTTGCTTTGTCCATCATAATGTCTCTCGCGTTCAGCACAGAAAGAGACTTCCAGTCGTCTTTTATATGCTTTAGACAGCTTCTGATTTCGTTCTCGTAAACAATCAGAGTGCCATACTTAGCGAGTGCGTTGAACGAGTAAATCATAGGAGCAATCATCTTCAATTTGCTACCCGGTTCTTCTTCGGTGATAAACATGCAATATAACATAACGGGTATGCCTTCGAAGCACACGAGAATGCAGCAAACGATTATTAAAAGAATTTTATAAATCATTTCAGCGGCAGATAAGTCTCTGTCAACTAAAGGCCAAATACCGAGTATTCGTAGAAGAAAGTGACTTTGTTTGGTGACATATTCTATGTCTTGTTCATAGTTCTTATTTGGATGCATTTCTAAAAAGAGTCTGTTCATGATAAATAAAGAGTAATTTTAGGAGAAAATTGTTGAAGACGAGTATTTTAAGACTCGATAATAAATAAAAATACGTTAAAAGACAACGTACTGCAATATGTGTTTGCAGATCGCAAATTTGATCGCTACTGATCGTTATTGAGGACTAAGATTGACTGATGTACGAATGTGAACACTACCGAACGCGCTTGCGCGTTTTAAACATTAATACTTTGCATCAAGTTTGTATGAATAAGAAGAAATTCAAACAGGTGTTGCGTGCATCGTTGTCGATCTGTTTTAAACTTTAACTCTATTGCAAGGGTTGACTTTGAAGCAGTTATCTTCTATATAGTATATGTATACAAAACTTTAGACGATCATATTGTTAATGCTGTTGGAGTAAGAAGTTGATTGAATCAATATACTCTTGGATGAGATTGGCATTGTTTGTTTCATTTTTATAATGTACGCATATTTTCATTTTCTTCTTTTTCTTCTTTTTTGTTTCTTATATTTCTTTATCTAAATGGTGTGTGCTCTTTGTTTATCGTAACGAGTCGGATTGTTCAGGGATGTTTTATGATTTGTTCACTTAATAAATATTTACTTTTGGTTCATAAATTGAAATCTGTATTTTACTCTGACAAATGCATAATAAATCTAAATAAAATAATCAATTATAAATATTGTTTCTAACAAATTTAAATAAAGGCAGAATTTTAATCAGAAGTTGATCCAAGTTTGAAATATTTATTTTTTGAAAAATTTATTTTAGCTCAAAATTTTTATCTAATTGTACATGTTTATTTTTATGCACGTCTTCTATATTAAAAAGATTAATAATAATACTTTAATTATTTTAATTAGCTCTATATATATTACTTCACAAAAAATAGAAAACACTTGAATAATTTAAACAATTTATAAATTGCAGAAATTTGGCAAAAAATTATTGCAGATAAAAAATTTAAAAAATATTTTAAAGCTTAAAGTTTGTACTTTCACGCGCTTTAGACCGTCTTTGAAAATTTTTCATGATATCCTTCGAGTTTAGCACCGCGAGAAATTTTCAATCGTCCTTCATATGTTTCATACAACTTCTGATTTTACTTTTGTAAATAATAAGAGTCACGTACTTGGCAAATGAGAGCCACTAATTTTAATTTCTTTTGCGGCTTTTCTTTACCGTAATTGATTGCATGCGCGTAATATCATATCACGACATATGTATAAGAATACAACAAGTAGACATTAAAGAAATTTTACAAATTATTTCAAAAATTGACAACTGTCCTTCGTGATCAGACGCCAATTATTTATAAAAGAATGTAAATTTGTTTAGTAATCTTATGTCTTTCTCGTACTTCTTATTTGGATTTTTTAACATGGATTTTTGGATCATTACAATATATAATAATTAAAGAAAAAAATATAGTTTGAAAATGTGTTCTAAAATTTGCAAAAATAAAGAAGTATCAATAATATTATACGACACGTGCTTGCAAGCCGCAAGCTCGATCCCTACTGTTCACGTAATCCGTCATAAAAGGTAAAATCGACTGTTGTACGCATGCGAAAACCATTATTTGCGCGTGCGTGTTTTAAACATCAATATTTCACATCAGAATGAAAATGTAAGAAAAAACTTTGAAATGATTGTTACACTTTAGTCTTCCTGTTTGAAACTTGAACTTCAATGCAAGGGTTAACTTTTTCAAAGTTGCAAAGTTACGCAGCAAAGTAAAGAATATTGAAGTAAATTAAATACAAATTTTCAGCAAATCTCGTCTTTTATATATCAAGAAAGTTAAACATAAAATATCATTTGACTTCCTGGTTTAAATAAATAGAATTTAAGTATAATGCATAGTTAATCACGTTTTTTCTGATACTTAATGTTAATACAAATGTAAAATTTATTTTCTTTTACCAATAAATGTCACAAATTTTAACAAAAGTTTTGTTTTTAAGAGAAAACAGATATTCAAGGAAACTAATTTACATTTTATAAATGTTGTATATATTTTTTGTGATACTTTACAATTTGACATAAAAAGTGATATATACAATGAGACATGTAAGAGTGTTTTTCCTTGTCACTGATTGCAGCGAGCAGGAAGCATTCAACATCAGCTCGATATTATGAGTCGTAATAAGTCAGATAATAAATACATGTCTATGGCGAAAATGACACAATGAATTTCGTTAAGATGTGAAAATACTACATATATTTTTCTACCGACATTTAGAGAAAGAAACTACTAACGTTATTGTAAGTTCTTTTTATATTATTATTTTTATTGTAAAATCACAAATTTTTATGAATACTTAATCTGTGCTTTCACGACTAATTCAGTCAATTTTTCGGAGAAGATTTAAATATGTAACGGACATCTTGATAACCTAAAATAAATATGCTTTTATTAATTAATCTTCTAATAAGCATTTTTGTCATGAATAAAAAATTGTTTAATTATGTAAAGTTAATTAAAAATTTTGAAACGTAAAAATTACTTACATTGCCGAACGTTCTAAGGGAAAGATCGATAAATTTTCCTGCACTAAGTTTTATCGGAATGTCCGAAATAGATATGATTAAAATCAATGCACGTGCCTTTAAAGTCGGCAAACGGTACCAATTCAATGTACACGCTGTTAATGCTACTTTATCTCCCTAGTTACATCATAAATTACAGACATTAATAATGCAATTAAAAAAAGTAATATTTTGCCCGTATTTTCTTTTTTATAAAATATTTCATGATTATCGTTTTCAACTATATGACAAAACAAGAGATAGATAATACATACCTGTATGACGACTTGCTCGCCCATGTAGCAGTAGATAAATATGTTGAAACATAACATCATTAATCCAATACTATACGTGCACAGACGTACAATATTGTGATCTTCCCATTCCTATAAATTAAAAAGTTTCTTTAAATAATTAATTTTACATACAATATATTAATAAATTTAATAATTTTTTATCAAATATTCTACCACATTTGTTAAATGTCTCTTAAAATTGATTATAATATGAATATTATTTGCGCACCATAATAACATAAAATCCTACGAGGCACATTAGTAAGGTAGAGCCTAATACTTCTATTAAACTTGGATATTGAATGATGCTTTGTATCAACTGCCGAAAACTAAAATATGTGACAATATGAACACATACGTTTTAACATACAGTATCAATCACCATGTATTAAATAAATGTGTGTATAATTATATTATTACACTTCAAATATAACAAAATTATCAGACATAAAATATCGATATTAATCTGGATACGAATTACATAAATTCGAGAATAAATCAAAGCATATAAAGAGATTTACTTTTGTGTTTTAATCTGATGTTCCACGACAATAGCCAATTTTCGGTTTAAGTTTTCAAATTGACGCTCATTTGTAAAACTGTCCATTAATGTCATTAGTACGTCCAGTTGTGAACAAAAGTGCATAACGCAGAAAGTTATCAAACCAAATGTTGCAACTGTAATTGTATATTTTATAATTCCCGCAAACAATTGTAGGCAGAATACGATTTCATAAGCGGGACTGCGTTGCACGTCAAACATAACGAAATAAGCTGCGCTTGGCAGTGGTCTAATTGTGATATTCTGGGATGTGACGATTTTTCCCGCTGTCAGTGGCATAATCATTCGAACACCCACGCCACTCATGTATACAAACATAGCGCATATCACCATCAAACGTTTGCCAAATCTGACTCTGTCAATCATAAAATTACGATCACTAGGGCTAACGACGTTTTGCCAATCTTCGTCGATTATCATCATGCAATTCCTTACTTTATTCTTATACAGCAGCACATAACCGTACTTGACGATCGTTACTAGTCCAAATATCGCGTTAGCCAAAACTTTTAATTTCAGTCGCAAATCTTTCAACACCATAAACACATAGAGTAAGATCGGAATGAACTCGAACAACACGAGGAAAACACATAAAATAATCAAAGGGACCGTTTCTATCATTTCGGAAATAGAAGAATTTGTACGTGGAAACGGCCATATACCTAATATGCGAAAAAAAAAGCGGTTTGTCTCAAAAGCGTACTCGATGTCGCGTTCATAATACTTGTTGGCAAACTTCATTATTTTAATATAAACTAATTCTACAATTTACGATATCAGAAATATATGACGTAAAACACTTGTGCAAAATGCGACGGGCGTCTACTTGTTACTTGCAGTCGTATTCTTTGCTCGATCGACGTTCACAATTTGCATGCGCTTGCGTGTTAAAAAGACTGCAAATCTACGTCAAGCAGGTGGCTGTCATATGGGAGCACAACATATGGCATCTTTGACAGAAACTGAACACAGAATTATATATGATTTTCCTTCATCATGGGGAGAAAAAGTTTATCTACTAAAAGTCAACCAGAGAAGAATAAGTTAACGTTTTGTTAAGAAAACTTATTTATAATGACGGTAGTCTGTGACTTAACATTTATACTACGTTTTTCTCCACATGTAGTAAATATGCTTTTCGATATAAAAATAACTTAACATCTCCATATTTTTGAACAATTAAACAAATATTATTTACATGCGTATTCAGATTAGCAAACGTGACAAAAATTACGACAAAACAGATGTTTAATAAAACTTCTTTATATAATACAAATCTTGTAAAGTATTTTTTCAATTTTCAGTTTTCACGACTTTTTATCAATAAACTTTTTCATTAAAATCTTCATTTGCGCATAAATATGCATCACGAGAAACGCGATGAGGCTGTGTACTTATGTATATTCATAATGGTATATAAATCCACTAAGAAACTTCAGCATGAATACAGGATTACGCTCTTCGTCGAATGGAATAAAGTGACTTGAAGTAACTGATGACCTGATCGTATCGTTCTTATTGTAACAACTTTTCCAGTAAATATTGACGCCAAATGATAGAAAAAATCAATAAAGTATAAGAGAGTACAGTATATAATAAACATATCTCTCGCTTTTTTTTTCTTCATGATGATGTCCCTCGTGTTTAGCACTGCTGATGTTATCAAACAAACATTTTTCTACGAATAATTGCTATCTGGTCATTGCTCGAAAAATAGTTGTTAATTTTTTGCTGAGTGATCAGTATATTTGAGCGTAAGTTTAAAAAAAATTTTTGGAATGTTTAAAGTATTAACCAAATAATTGTATTAATTGCAGAGAACAATAAAAATTCACTAACACTAGCTTGTTTATACGAATAAAATAAAGATAATAAAGATAAATTTATATTTAGATTTACATAATAAATTTTAATATTAAAAATGTGAAAATATACATATATTTCGACAACAGATATTTGAAGAAAAAAGTTACAAGTAAGTATTATTATGCGTTCTCTCTTTTTCTTACTATTTTGTTCTTTTTATTTTAAAAGTATACAATTTTATAAATACTGTATCTATACTTTTCCGACTAATTCAGTCAACTGTTCGAAGAAGGTTTAAATATGTAACAGACATTTTAACAACCTAAAATAAATATGTTTCTGATAATTATTTTTACGTTTAATGAACATTTTTATTTAATTAGTAAGAAAATATTAATTATATAAAATTATTTAATAAATTTAAAACAGTAAAAATTACTTACATTGCCGAACGTTCTAAGGGAAAGATCGATAAATTTTCCTGCACTAAGTTTAATTGGAATGTCCGAAATGGCTATGATTAAAATCAAAGCACGCGCTTTTATAGTTGGAAGACGGTACCAATCCAACGTGCATGCTTTTAATGCAACTTTATCTCCCTTAATTACATCAATAAATTACAGACGTCGATAATACAATGTAAAAAAATTATTATTTTGCTCGTATTCCATTTTCTTATGTATTGAATATTTCATTTAACGAACAATTGCTATCGATGCATACCTGCACGACGACTTGCTCGCCCATGTAACAGTAGATAAATACGTTAAAGCAAAACATTACTAATGCAATGCTATACGTGCACAGACGTATAATATTGCGATCTTCCCATTCCTGTAAAGTAAATAATTTTGTAAAATTATCAATGCAGAAATATTTAATAAAATGATGATGGTTTTTGAGAATCAGCGAAGATTTATATGCTTAAGTATGTATTATATTTATATTTATATTATTATTATTTATTATTATATAAATATAAATATAATACATACTTCTCTAAAGACAAAAGCATTGTCTCAGTTTCTCGCGCGCACACGTCATACAAATTAAATACATCATACTGTATCGATCGATCTAAATTCTAGATCATTGATCTTAATTTAAAAAAATATTTTTTACCTTAATTTTTAATAAAATATTTCAATGTGCTTAATATGTTATTACTTGTTTCACTACATTTATGAAATGTCTTTTTTTACTATTATATAAATATTTTTACGCACCATAATAATGTAAAATCCTGCAAAGCATACCATTACGGTAGAACCCAATACTTCTACTAAACTTGGATATTGAATGATATTCTGTATCAATTGTAGAAAACTAAAATGTAAAATATGCAAAAATAAACGCACATGGTATTCAGAAGGGAGTATCAATTATTATATTTTTATATTTTACATAAAATATACAATCTTGATACTATTCTGTGTAAAGATCTATGTAAGTTAGTGGATATACCCATACATAGAAAGAGACTTACTTGTGTGTTTTAATTTGATGTTCCACGACAATAGCTAATTTTTTGTTTAAATTTTCAAGTTGGTTCTCATTTACAAAATTGTCCATTAATGTTAATAGTATGTCTAGCTGCGCGCAAAAGTGCGTAACGCAAAGTGTTACCAAGCCGAATGTTGCGACTGTAATCGTATATTTTACAAATCCGGCAAAGAATTGTATGCAGTATACAATTTCATAAGCGGGGCTGCACTGTACGTCAAAGATAACAAAGTAAGCTGCGCTTGGCAGGGGTCTAATTGTGATATTCTGGGGTGTGACGATTTTTCCCGCTGCTAGCGGCATAGCCATTCGAACACCCACGCCACTCATATATACAAACACAGCACACATCACGATCAAACGTTTGCCAATTCTGACTCTGTCAATCATAGAATTACGATCACTGGAACTAACGACATTTCGCCAATCTTCGTCGATCAGCAACATGCAATTTCTTACTTGATTCTTATACAGCAGCACATAACCGTACTTGATGATCGCTACTAGTCCAAATATCGCGTTGCCTAGAACTTTTAATCTCAGCCGCATATCTTTCAAAACCAGAAACACATAAAGTAAAATTGGCATAAACTCGCACAAAAGAAGAAAAAAGCATACGGAAACCAACGAGACCGTTTCTATCAAGTCAAAAAGAACGGAATTAGTCCGCGCAAATGGCCAGATACCTAATATACGAAAGAAGAAACGATTCATCTCGAAAGCGTACTCGATGTCACGCTCGTAATACTTGTTGGCAAATTTCATGCTTTTAATGTGAATTGGTTCTATAATTTATGATATCAGAAGTAACGCAAAACAATTGTATTAAATGCAACGTCTATTTGCTACTAACAGCGTGTCCGTGCTCGTGCACTATTCACAATTTGCATGCGCTTGCGTGTTAAGCCAGCTGCAAATCTACGTCAAGCAGGTGGCTATCACATGGGACTATATACATATGGCAACTCTCACAGGGATTGAGAGCAGAATTATTTATGATTATTTGTCATTATAAGAAGAAAAAGTTTTTCTGATGAAAGTCAACGGGAAATAAAAGAGTTTCCATTCTGTAGAAAAACTTATTTACAATGATGTTGTGTAGTTTTTGACTTGATAAAACATATATGAGGTAACAAACACTCATTGTACTTATACGATACATACTGGAATAAAAATTATTGTTTTTGCGTCTTGTCACGTGATCAATGATCAAAATATATAATACGTATAAGTAATGGTTTACGGTGACAGATAAATGATAACATTTATCTCTTAAATTGTTTAAAAATTCGAAAATAATTGTGGACTAATGTTTTTAAACAAATCAATAAAGGTGTTGATTTTCTTTAAAATATTTTGAGACACACAACTTTTTATTCGATCTTCATATATTTAATATGCGAAGAAAAAAGCGATTAAACTAAAAAATGTACTCAATGTCGCGCTCATAATGTTTGTTGATAAACATCTTGATTTCAATTGTAATTTATAATATAAAAAATGTAGTATACACTTTTCAGAATTAAAAACGTAATTTACGTAAATTATACTTTTATAATATACATATATGCAACGCGCGTTTATTCGTTACTCTTATATTAGCGTATTTTTTCACCCGATGTGAATACAACTCATAATTTGCACGCGTTTGCGTGTTAAAAAAACTTAAAACTCATGTCTAGCAGATGGCTGACATATGGAACCATATATATAAAAACTTTTGCGTGAGTTGAATATAGATTTATTTATGAGTTTTTTATTATCGTAGGAAGAAGTAAAGCGGAATTAGTTAACATCCTGTAAAAAAAGTGTATTGATTATAATGATTTATATGATTTTTTTGATTCGATAAAATATTCATTAAAAAGCATTTATACATACCATGTTAGAATAAAAAACATTTTTATTGCGTACTTCTACGTAATTATTATTTAAAATATAGTGCATTTAAATCTTGACTTACAATAATAAATAAAAAATAACATTTATTACTTAAGTTTTTCAAAACTTTAAATCACGTAAGATAAAGTTTAAATTTGTAATAGTAATTAGTGATAGCGTAAAGAGAGCAAAATAATAAGAGTGTTTCTTATTTGATTCTCTTTTTAAGACACTCCTCGATTTTTTTAAAAGAAAAAACTTATACAATTAACAATTAAGGAATGTATTCAAATGTTAAACATATATTTTAATTTTTTATGTTTCAAATTTATATTATACATATACAGTATATTGTTATTGGTACCATGCAGCTTGGATCACAATTTTGACGATTGCAAAAGAAATATTCAGTCAACTACATTGCGAAGCATATTAAAATATGTTACAGCTGTCTTAACAACCTACAATGTAATTTTTTTCCAATTATTAGCTTATTATTTTAATATTAACATAAAAGTTGCAAATAATAATGTCATACATACATAAATAATATCCTAACAAAAAATAAATGAATTAAGTGTTTATATTAGATTTACAATTTCGTTCAACATTATTTTCAAAAATAAAAGCATTTACTTATTAGCTTGTTTGCCAAATAAAAATGTAGTATATAATGGCATAAATTAATAATATACTCCACAACATTGCTTCACAAAAACTAGGGAACACTTTTCAGATGCACAAAAATAAAAATTTTTTAAACCACTAAAATTTGACAAAATTTATCGCACATAAAAAATTTAGAAACATTTTAAGTTTGTACTTTTACGTGCTTTAGACTATTTTATAAAAAAAAATTTATTTTTACTCTTTCAAGCTCAAAAAAGAACATATTGTTTTGTTTCTTTTTTAATTACGTACTTGCAACATTTTGTAGTTCAATAAAAAAATTTTTTCGCAAAATTTATGACAAGTGTCAAAAGCTACAACATTTTACTTACAAAATTCATTTTTTTAAATTTTATTACAATATTTTTTTGGCCAAATTACACTACTTTGAAGCTAAATCTATTTTTCATATTAATAATACTGTCAATTTAAAGTCGCACAACTCAGACAAAAAATATCGTAGCAAAATTTAAAACAATGCATTTTGTAGATAAGATGTAGTAATTTTTGGCACTTGTTATAAATTTTGCAAGAACAATTTTTTTATTGATAACAAAAGAATGTATTCTTTCTTTGAGCTCAGGACTGTAAAAATAAAAAAATTTTTGAAACAGCTAACAACATGTAAAAGTACAAGTTTCAAGCTTTAAAATGCTTTTTTATTTTTTTGTCTACAGTAATTTTTCATCGAGTTACAGTGATTTGAAAATTGGTCAATTTTAAGCGTCTGAACGTCTCGATGCAGCAGAGCAGTGCGGGCGTGAACGGTGAGTGCGCGCCATTAATACGTACGATGCCATAATAATGCGCTCTGCTCTGCTGCGTCGAGATGTTCAGACGCTTAAAATTGACCAATTTTTAAATCACTGTAACTCGATGAAAAATCATCGTAGGCAAAAGAACAAAAAAGCATTTTAAAGTTTGAAGCTTGTACTTTCACGTGTTGTAAGTCATTTAAAAAAAATTTTTTATTTTTACAGAGCTCGAAAGAAGAACATAGTACTTTCAACACTTTTTAGCTTAATAAAAACATTTTTAACAAATAAATTTAATGAATTATGGGCTCTCTTGATTTAAAAATTAAATGTCTCAAAATAAAAACTGAAATAGAGCCTGAGCAACTTTAATGCTCATTTATTGTTTCATAAAAATTGTGCAGACGTTTCGGCTTTTGACTTAGGCCATCTTTATTAAATCCTGTAATAAAAACAAGTCTTAACACAATAGTCATATCAAAAAAAAAAATTTTTAATTTTAAAAACAAAAAAATATGTTTTTTTTTGAACTAAGAAATATAAAGATAAAAAAATTAAAAAAAAACAATCTACATTAAAGTACAAACTCCAAGTAAAATGCTTTTACAATTTTTCTTTGAAAATGATTTTTTGCCGAGTTTCAATGATTTGAAAATTGCTTGATTTTGATTATCTGAAAAGTGTTATCTATTTTTGTGAAGTAATGTATTATAAAAAATTTAATTTGATTTTTATGTTAGTGCTTATGATGGCAAACAGTGTGTGAATAGAATATTTACCATATTATAATTATTGCTGCTTTTCAAATAAATAAAATAATGCATTTAATTAAATGAGTATTCTTACATCACCATATGTCTTAAATGATAGATCCATAATTTTTCCAGCGGTGATCTTAGTGGGCAAGTTTGACATGATTATCACCAACACGATTCCACGCGCTTTTTTGTCCGGAAGACGATACCATTCAAGCTCGCATGATGTAATAGCTACTTTCTCCGCCTATTATAAATATTATTAAAAATACATAACAATATTTCACAGGTTTAAGTATTATTTCAAATAATCGCAGATGTTTTATGCAACATACAAAATCAATATTTTCAATTTTTGTAAAATAAGATTTTTACTTTTACAGTTTTCGCAAATAAAATAATATTATTTATGTCAAAATAACATTATATATTGCATGCTAATGTTTTCGTATAATAGAGTTTGCTAAGAGAGAGGAAAAAGTTTAACAAGCTACCCTATCGCTACGTCAAGAAAGCGTACCTGAACTGTTAGCTGTTCACCAGTATAACAGAACAGAAACATATTTATCAGCATTGACGTAAGTGTTATAAAATAAGAACACATTGCTATTGGATTGTGTTTTTCCCATTCCTATAAATGCAATATCTTTACGTACTGTTTAGATACGAAAAAATATGAAATTGAATTTTTGATAGCCTTTAAATTATTAAGTATCAAATTATTCTCTAAAATATATAAATTATCTCATAATTGTTTCAACGTTTCTATAAGTTGTATTTTTGTAATTTGTGTTAATAAACTTTTCTGGTTGAATTCTACAAAATAATAATAAAATGTAAATAACAATTAAGTACCATTATTATACAATATCCAATAATACAGACGATTATCGTGCATCCCATTAAGTCTATTAAACATACTTGTTGCATAGTTTCTTCCACCAGTCTCAAAAAACTAAAATATAGTTATTGATGATATCAAAAAAATGGACACTTTTACTTTAAAAAAATAAAAAAAAAGAGTATTAAAAATTACAATACATGTGCAAAGTATGGTATTGTCATTTGTCAAGTAAAAAATATTTAGCATAATTTTGGTAATAAAGCCATAAGTTAAAAACTCACTTTCGCACTCTTATTTGATGTTCGACGATCTCAGCAAGTTTCTTATCTATAACTTGACTATCTTGCCATTCTTGGTCGACGAGTCGTTTCAACAAATCCATTAGGATTCTCAACTGACCACAAGCATGCATCACAAATACAGCCGCGAGGCCACACACGCCTGTTGTGATCGAAAAGGTAATTAAACCGGACAAAACTTGTAGCGCAAAAATAATCTCGTAATTAGGGCTGACTTGTGCATTGAAGAAAAAAAAGTAGCCCGGACAAGGTAAGGGTTTGATCGTAATATTTTGTGCATTAACAATCTTTCCTTTTACAAATGGCAAAATAGTTCGGAAGGAAAGTCCGCTACCGTACATGAAAATTCCGCAAAGAGCAACCAGATGTCTTCCGGTCTTTGCAGATTTAATCATTATTTCACGTGCGTCCGTACTGATAACATTTTTCCAATCTTCCTCGATGTGCTTCAAACAGCGCTTTATTTGTCCTTCGCGAAATATTAAATTACCATATTTACTTATGGCCATTAAGCCGAAAAGAAGTAAAGGCATCAATTGAATTTTGACATATGTTCTCTTTTCTAACAGCCAGAAAAAAGTACCAGGGAGCAGAACGCAGTAAAGAAGAATATAAGAGACACAAATTAACAAGAACTTGTAAAGTTTTTTGTTGGCAGATTTTCTATTGAAAGATGGCCATACTCCGAGTGTCATTAAAATGATACGCGTTAATTGCGTAATGTACATAATATCTTCTTGATAATGTTCGTTATATAACATTTTTTGCAAACTTTAGAGATTTCTCCAAATTTTTTCTTTAGAAAATAAATGTAAAACGTCGTGTAAATAGTTGCAAATGGTATGAAGTCTAGACGCGAACTGAATCACAACTGATCGTTTTCCGAGGACTGTCAAGAAAGTAAATTTACTATTCTCTTGCGCTTGCGCGTTTTAAAAATGTACGTGTAGCGTGCAGAAAGTAACAAAGTTTCTAAGTCAACTTGCTCATCGAGAGTCAGGATTGCTTTCCATATTATTTCTATCTATCAATCGTGTATCTATTTCTGAAGCAAATAAAAATACGGTTGGTATTAACTTTTTCTTTCTTGCATTAAAACTTACAATGCTTGTAATAACGTTGACTAGTAAATAATAGTCACGTTTATATTGTAGAATACTTTGTTAGAGTCTCATACAGAAATCAATAGCGTAACAAAATTGCATGTATTGTTTAATACACTTTTTAATAAAGATGTAGACATATTTTTTATTATTTTTTTAATTGTTAAGTATTATTATAAATTTAAAAAAAATCAAAATAATAAAATAATATATGCTACAATTATGCAATTTAAATAATTATAAATCGATCTTTTAAAAAAATTTAATATATATATATTACACACAATATCTATATGATATCGTATTTTAGCTCTTCAGTATTAGATATATAAAAAATTTTTTATGTGTTTCTGTATAAGAAATATATTTAAATTGAGAATTAAATGTTATACATATTATATAAAGTTTTGATATTTGACACATTTATATCACGTGAATATACACACAATATAATATTATCGTTGAAATATGTAATAAAACAAAAATATTATACAACAGAATATTCAATCAGTTACATTTAGAAGCATATTAAAATATGTTACAGCTGTTTTAACAACCTAAAACGTAATATTGCACAATTATTTTGATAGAAGTTTATCTGATATAATAAATAATTTTTAATAATACGTCATAGATGTGACTTAGACAAATAATCATCTAATAATGTGTTTCAAATAATAAAGCATACAAGTTGAAAATATAAAGTTAAACATAAAGAAAACATAAAATAAAGATATATTATTAAATATATATTATATCTAGTAATAATTTCATTTAATATTACTTTAAAATATAATAGCTCTAATAATTATTAATTTGTTTTTGATACAAAAAATATATATAATATGCATTTAGTATAATAAATCAGTCATAAGTGATTTATATTTGATTAGAGTATATCTAATTTTTTTAAAACACTTAATAATATATTTATCGGTTATGTCATAATAATTGTGAATTTTTTGGTAAATTAAGTGTGTAAAAATAATCTTACATCACCGTATGTCTTGAATGACAAATCCATGATCTTTCCAGCAGTGATCTTGGTGGGCATGTTCGACATGATCATCACCAGCACGATTCCACGTGCTTTCTTATCCGGAAGACGATACCACTCGAGTTCGCATGATGTACTAGCTACTCTCTCCGCCTGTTTATTATTAATATTATCAAGTGTACGTAGCAAAATTTTCTAAGTATAAACATATTTTAATAAAAACACGTTTAACAATTATTTCAAGACGAATGTCATTTTTGTAACTTGCGCAATAGATATAATGTTTCTTTTTATGTTAGAAAATAACAGGGTGTCCCATTTTAAAAATCCCACGTGAATAACTTTTCAGAGAGATATTTTCAAGAACATACCTGTGCGGTAAGCTGTTCACCAGTGTAACAAAACATAAACATATTTATCATCAGGGATGTAATTGTTATAAAATAAGAACACATAGCTATTGGATTACTATTTTCCCACTCCTAAAAATTAATACTTTTATGTTCATAATATCGGTAATTAGAAAACAATTAAAAAAAAATTTTTTACAATAAACTATAAATTGTCATATTTATTTCAAGAGTAATATTTAATCAAGTAATAAATTTCCTTATTATTGTATAATTATTTTAATAATTTCTATTATTTTAATGTTAAAATATTCTTTATTTTTTTGTTATTATAATTTGAAAATTTATAAAATAACGAACCATTATTATACAATATCCCAGCAAACAAACAATTATTGTACATCCCAACAATTCTATTAAACATGCTTGTTGCAAAGTTTCTTCTACCAATTGCAAAAAACTGAAAATATAGTATTAAATTTAAAAAAAAGTTAAATTACAGAAAATAAAAAGTATAATCAATAGTTCCATTTGTGGAACTAACTATAATATAAACTGTTAATTAGTAATATTTAATTAGTAAGTAATCATTTTATTGGTGATAATTTATTTAATAAATTGATTTAGTAAAAACTACAAATTTAAAAAAATTATTAACACTTACTTTCGTATTCTTATTTGATGCTCCACCATTTTAGCAAGCTTTCTGTCTATTTCTTGTTTCTCTTCCCACTGTTCCTCAACAACATTCTTCATTAGATCCACCAAGATCTTTAATTGACCGCAGGCGTGCATCACAAAGACGGCCGCAAGACCACATATACCTATTGTTATCGAATAAGTAACTATTCCGGATAAAAACTGCATTGCAAAAATCAGCTCGTAAGCGGGGCTGACTTGTATATCGAAAGAAAAAAAATATGCCGGACAAGGCAAAGGTTTAATTGTAATATTTTGCGGGGTAACAATCTTTCCTTTGGACAATGGTAAAATTGATCGAAAGGAGAGTCCGCTGCCATACATAAAAGCTGCGCAAAGTGCAACCAAGCGTCTTCCAGTTCTCGCAGATTCAATCATCGTGTCCCGTGCGTCCATGCTAGTGACGAACTTCCAATCTTCTTCAATGTGCTTCAGGCAACGTCTGATTTCTCTTTCGCGAAGTATCAAACTGCTGTATTTACCGCTGGCCATAAAGCCGTAGAGAATTAGAGGAATAGTTTGAATTCTAACGCGCGTTCTTTGCTCGATCAACCAGAAAAGGACACCGGGGATCAGAACGCCATAAAGAAGAACATAAGAAACCAAGATCAACAAGAACTTCCAAGCTTTTTCACTGATGGATCTTCTTTTGTTGAAAGACGGCCAAACTCCTAGCAGACTCAAAACGTTACGCGTTAATTGTGTAATGTACATAATATCATCTTGGTAATGTTTGTTTCGCAACATGTTTCTGTCAATGCTGCGTAAAATCCATAAAGCAAATTGAATCACGACTGAATTGTTGGAACAAAATAACGTCGACAAAGTAAATTTACCGCTTGCTTGCGCTTGCGCGCTTTAAAGGCTTAAATGTTGCATGAAAAAGAGGGTTCGAAAGCAAGAAAGTTTGCAAGCCAACTTTCATATCGCGAATCGAGATTGCTTTCCACGGAAAGTATTTCTGTTTGACAACATGTATTTTTTTTTTTTTTTCTAAGCAACCTGGTGAATGATTAGCTTTAACTTTGTTCCTTCCTGCATCAAACCACGTGTACCCATCAGGTCGTTAACCGATGAATAATATTATGAAAATAGCTTTGATTACGAAGTACTTTTCGATGTACTCAATATAGACATGTCAAAATGTGTAGTAACACGTTAATAGAATAAATAAATTTAGTTATATTTATTTGCACGATGTTTTATGTTTTATGATAAAATTTTGAAGAAAAAATGTGAACTTGTTAAACTAATGGTTGCGTGAAGAAAAAGAAATTAAGTAGTAAATGATTTTTATAGAAAGTATTTGGCATTCGTTTATCAAGTTTTTTAATTTTTTGAAAAATAATCGCGTTTGACGTTATTGATCTCTCTATTGCTACTATCGTACCTGAAATCTGCAATGCTGACACGTGAGTGAAAATTTTGATTGTGTTGTACCTCAATAAGTATTTTGGCTTTTATATACAATAGATGTGTTCTGAAATCATACTTTATCACAACAAACATTTTAAAGAAGAAACAGTCAGATTATATAGTTCTGTCAAATCACTATTGTCATTTCTACTATAAATAAGTATTAAAATTCAATCAATATAATAGAATAAAAAATTCAAATATCTTACAATAGTCGTAATAATAATATGACAATTTTCGTAAAGATCTAATTTTTTTATCAAAAAAGAAAGTTTTTTTATTAGAAGTCAATTAAAAGCAAATGTGTTAACATTCTGCAAAAAAAGTTTATTAATATGATATTAGTGTTATTAAGATGCAGTTTCGGCTTTATAAAATATTAATTATAGCAAAGCAACTGTATTTGTAATACAATACATTTTAAAATAAAAATTATTGTTGTTGTGTATCGCTACGTGATCACTGCAATTCTATGATCAAAATGTATAGTGCACTTATATGGTGCTTTGCACAATAATTTGTAAAGAATAGTTTTTACTAGCCTAATGCATCAGAGATTTAAATAGCGCGTACAATAAATTTTTAAATAAAATAGTGTTTTAAAGCACCAAAAAAACACAATAAAAGAAGTAATAAAAAAATAATTCATTTTGGTTTCATATTTGTTAAATTTTCTCGACTTTTTTAGAAAAAAAATTATACATTTAATGATGAAAAAATATATTTAAATAAAAAATATATATACAGGATGATCCACGGAACTATACCGGGTTCTAGCACTTGTTTTGTTCAAGATAGAAAAATATAGTAGAGGCAAAAGTTAAATGACATAACATGTCATAAAATTTCATAAAATTTTTTTATTGATTCATTTTTTTTAAGTGCAACGATACACCAGAAAAGTACAAACTTTCCACTTTTCCACTTTATCTTACTTAACTTCCACTTTTTCTTACTCAACTTTCCACTTTTTTAAAAAATAGAATTATATATTTGCATTTTTATAGTGCAACATTAAATACGAAAACTTAACTTACTTACGAAAAATATAAGTCCATAAAAAATTCTTCATGTTATGCTATTTAATGTTTGCCTGCACTATTTTTTCAATTTTTAACAGTATAAGTGCTAGAACCAGATCCAGTTCTGTGAACCACCTTGTATATATGTAATCGTATAAATGTATAATACATTGCGCTTAATTTTTATATTTTTCACATTCATGTTATTGACATATTTTGTTACCAAAACCAATGCTTAAATTGCAATTTTAGCGGTTAGAACAGAAATATTCAGTCAGTTACATTTCGAAGCATATTAAAGTACGTCACAGCTGTTTTAACGACCTAAAACACAATTACTTGCAATTATTTCATTATTATTTATATATATAAATATTAATGTAAAAATAATAAAATGCAAATAATAAACATCATATACTTGAATAATATACAAATATAAAACAATATACATTAATTGAACATGTTTTTATAATATAAATAAATTTAATTATACATATTTTTATAAAATTAATGCGAAATTTAAGATTATTCACTCTTATTGATTTATTTACAACATAAAAATATACGCAATAACCACAAAGATTATAAATTGTAAAAAATTTAATTATAATTTATTTTATAATTAACTTTTTATTGATTTTATTGTAATATCACATGATAAACGTTTAATAAGAAATTATTATTTTATCATAATTATTTCAAATTTCTGAACAGATAGAATGGTGCATTTGAGTGTATTATATGTTCTTACATCACCGTACGTCTTAAACGATAGATCCATCATCTTCCCAGCAGTAATTTTAGTAGGTAAGTTCGACATAATCATAACCAACACGATCTCACGCGCTTTTTTGTCTGGAAGACGATACCATTCAAGTTCGCCTGATGTAGTAGCTACTTTTTCCGCCTATTATAAATATTATAACATATTTGTTGCAGCATTTCATCAATTCAAATATCATTTTTTTACATATTTTTGATTGTTTCTTGAAGATATAAATTATTTTTGTAGTTTGCGTAACACATAAAAAAATTTTACTTAGGTATTGTCATTATACGTCAACATCATATCGCTCATTTGCTGCAACAATGACATAACTAAAAATTTGCCGTTTTTGAGCAAATAAGCGATATATAGTGAAATCTGTTTCCAAAAGATTTGATGAATTATTATAAGAAGACATACCTGAGTAGTTAGCTGTTCACCCGTGTAACAGAACATAAACATATTTATCATCAGAGACAAAAGTGCTATAAAATAAGAAGACATAGCGATTGCGTTGCTTTTCTCCCATTCCTGTAAATGTATTATCTTTATATAAATGGTCAGATGTGTGAGAAAGTGTAAAATTATATTTTTTATAGTAGACTCTGAATTGTTGTACTTTTACCATTTTTATTTTTATGTTATTTATGTTATTATTCCTACTTAATTAAACGCATTGAAAGATTTTTTGATTTTAGTTCGGATACAATATTACAAACCATTATCATGCAATATCCAAGAACGCAAACGATTATAGTGCACCCCATTAATTCTATCAAACATATTTGTTGTAGAGTATGTTCCACCAATTGTAAAAAACTGAAATATGGTTATCGATGGCATGAAATCGGAACTTTCAACTCGAAAAATAGGAAATAAAAAGAAGAACTACAATTCAATGTGCAAAACACGATATTAATTGTTGTTTAGCAAATAAATAATATCACACACGCAACAGAGATTCAATAACAAACCAACAGTTACAAAACTCACCTTCGTATTCTTATCTGGTGTTCGACTATCTTTGCCAGTTTTACATCCACGTCTTGTGTTTCCTGCCATTTTTCTTCGACGAGATGCTTCATGAGACTTATCAGGATTCTCAGTTGACCGCAAGCGTGCATCGCAAACACAGCGGCAAGGCCACACGCACCAGTTGTAATCGAGTAAGTGACTAAACCTGACAAGAACTGCATCGCAAAAATAATCTCGTAATTGGGGCTAACTTGTGCATTAAAGGAAAAAAAGTAACCCGGACAAGGCAGCGGTTTAATCGTGACGTTCTGCGCGGTGACCATCTTTCCTTTGGACAACGGCAGAATCGATCGAAAGGAAAGTCCGCTACCGTACATGAAAACTCCGCAAAGTGCGACCAGATGTCTTCCGGTCTTTGCAGATTCGATCATTATTTCACGTGCGTCTGTACTGATAACGTTTTTCCAATCTTCCTCGATGTGCTTCAAACAGCGCTTTATCTGTCTTTCGCGAAATATCAAATTGCCGTACTTGCTTATGGCCATTAAACCGTAAAGAAGTAAAGGAATTGTTTGAATTCTGACTCGCGTTCTCTTTTCTATTAGCCAGAAAAGGATGCCGGGGATCAGGACGAAGCAGAGAAAAATATAAGAGGCAGAGATCAGCAGAAACTTGGATATTCTTTTGCTGGTAGATCTCTTTTTGTTGAAGGATGGCCAAACTCCGAGTGTGATTAGAACGGTACGCGTTAATTGCGTGATGTACATAATATCATCTTGATAATATTTATTAAACGGCATTTTTTCGTAGATTTTATAAGTTGCCCGGAATTTGTTATTTAGAAGATAAATGTAAACTGTCGTACAAATTATTGGAAATTGTGTGAGGTCTAGACGCGTGCTGGATCACGACTGATCCTTGCGACAGAAAACTGTCGATAAAGTAAGCTTACCGTACGATCGCGCTTGCGCGTTTTAATAATATATTATAAACGTTGCGTGCAAATTTTAAAAAGTTTCCAAGTCAATTTGCTCATCGGGGGTTGAGATGCTTTTCACGGAAAGTATTTCTGTTTCACAACATGTATCCCTCTTTTAAACAACTAGAAATATTATTGGCTTTAACTTTGCTTTCTCCTCTTCAAATCAAATCTCACGGCTTACCTGTCGGAACATTGACCCGCGAGTAACAGTTCCGAGTAAGTAATAATAGTAAAAAATAATACATAGTCTATTAGATTTTAATACAATGTTTGCATATAAAAGCCCGCATGTAGTATTTATATATTAACATATGCATATTACAATGTTTTTGCACAATAAAACAAAATAAATATGAAATTATATTTACCTATAGCTGCGCAGTATCTTATATTTTGAGAAAAAAATATGTGGAAAAAGAAAGAACAATGATTAAACTTGTACTTGCGTGAGGAAAAGAGATTGAAAGCAGCAAATTATTTCTATGGAATTGTATGTACATTTTGATATGCTAACGCTTATCAAGTTTTTTTATTTTCTGGAAACAAAGTATGATTTTACCGACGTTGTTATTTGCATTCCTAGAAGCTGCAATTTTAATGGGTAAGTAAAAGTGCCGATTGTATTGTATGCCATCGAGTGTGTGTCTTGACGTTCACAGAGATTCTATTTTTATCTCTTTTTACGATAATTATTTTAAAGAAAAATCTGTTGCTCAGATTGTATACATTTTCATTTATCTTCTAAATAACAAATTCCGGACAACTTATAAAATCTATGAAAAAATGCCGTTTAATGAATATTATCAAGATGATATTATGTACATCACGCAATTAACGCGTACCGTTCTAATCACACTCGGAATATAATTTTGTCAATTTACTATTTTTATTTCGGTGTTTTATATTTCTATGTAGACTGCGTCTCTACAAGTGAGTGTTTAAATTTATCCGACAACTGATCTAACAAGTAAAGCTATCCAACTGTCACTCACCAATCGGAATAAAACTTTGCACACTTATAAAGCATGAAAAAATAGTAAACACGTATGTTTTCATTTTTCCTAAAAACACTTTTTACCCCCTCTACCGTATATGGGCAATATACAGGGTGCTTCCGCAACATACAGATCAGTAAGTTGGGTTGCCTATTTGTTTATCGGCAGGGGCATGCTTTACCGGCCGTGCAGAATAAGGTTAGATCGCAAGTCCGGCGGAAAATAAAGCAAAAGAAATTTGAGTTTTACCATTCTGGTATAGTGTAAGATTTAATAATATATATATAATAGGAGTTGTTTAATAATAGAAATATTAATAACAACATAATAATAAAATTAGTAATCATTAAACGATTATTAAACAAATAACACAAACACAATTTACAAAATAGAGATAAATAATATTTTTTTATTTAAAACATGCTTATAACAAATGTTCTATTAAATTACCAGCTTCTTCTGAGCATAACGTGATTCTGCGTATGAAATTTTCTCTCACTCTATTTAATGTGGCAAGAGTGTTTTCTGCGTTCACATGCGTTTCGTATTCTATTTTGCAAATCTTCTTAATTTGCTAGCAGTTTCATATATTTTATTTTTTAAAAAGCTCCACACGAAAAAATCCATGGGCGTAAGATCCGGAGACCATAGTGGCCACACTGAGGACTATGAAGTCCGATCCATCTTCCTGGAAATTTTTTATTTAAAATTGTTCTCGCTACAAGAGACGTGTGAGCGGGATGTCCATCCTGTTGGAAAACCATTTCTAGTTTATTAGCTAGTGGCACATCTTCCAAAAGCTCGTCGAGTCGGTGGAGAAGAAATTGTGAATAATATTGTGCATCCACATTTCCTTCGATAAATTCAGGGCCGATGACATGATCTCCTACGATTCCGAGCCACACATTTACAGTCCACCTACTTTGAAAATTGTGTTCCTTTACACAATGTGGATTCTGCTCTGCATAATGATGCTTATTATGACGATTTATCTGCCCATGACTTCCGAAAATTGCTTCATCGGTCCACAAAATGTTTTTTAAAAAGATGTCATTTCTGGCATCATTAAAATCCACTTGCAGAAATTGAATAATTTAGTATAAAGTTGACGATGTAAGTTGATAAATGGTAACAATGTGTCTGGTATATTATAAAATAATAAAAGAATAAAAAATTTAAACAAACTAACGTGATCAATAATCCATTCACAGAAATTTAAACGTCGTGGCATATCAGCAGGTACAAGTTTGTGTGTCGTATGTTTTTTGAATGGATGCAAACCCAGCGAATGTTTAATTATTTTATGAACCGTAATGTGGTTCATGTTTGGATCCGCAGCAATAGCTCTCGTGCTTGTGTGAGGATTTCTGACAACAGCTTGTTGAACTGCATCAATTATTTCCTGATTTCTTTGTGGAACATGGAGCGGCTTGCAAGATTTACGAAATTGTCCATTTGTTCTTAATCTTTCTTCAAGGCAATGAAAAAAACTGTGGTTTGGGTGGCGTATGTCCGGAAACTTTCGAGCGTAAAGTGCAGCTGCTTGTCTTTGATTCATTTGACACTCGCCGTAAATAAGAATCATGTCCGTTAATTCGTCAAACGAATAGTGATTTCGTTCCGGTTCCATTATGTTAACTCAATTTTTAACGCGTTTTAACTTGTATAATGTATAAATTGTAAAAATGTAATCGTAGGAGATCACATTATCGGCCCTGAATTTATAGAAGGAAATGTGAATGCACATTATTATTCACAATTTCTTCTCCACCGACTCGACAAGCTTTTGGAAGATGTGCCACTAGCTAATAGGCTAGAAATGGTTTTCCAACAGGATGGACATCCCGCTCACACGTCTCTTGTAGCGAGAACAATTCTAAATAGAAAATTTCCGCGGAGATGGATCGGGCTTCATGGTCCTCAGGAGTGGCCACCACGGTCTCCAGATCTTACGCCCATGGACTTTTTGTGTGGGGATATTTAAAAATAAAATCTATGAAACTTTGCCAGCAAATCAAAAAGATTTGCAAAATAAAATACGAAACACATGCGCAGAAATCACTCCTGCCATATTAAATAGAGTGAGAGAAAATTTCATGCGCAGAATTATGTTATGTTTAGAAGAAGATGGTAATTTAATAGAACATTTATTATAAGCATTTAAATAAAAAAATTATTTAATTTATTAATCTTTAATTGTTAATTATTAATAACCCTATTATTAATAACTTTTATTATTTATTTATTTATTAAAAAATATTATTTATATTATTTTGTAAATTGTGTTATTTGTTTAATAATCGTTAAATGTTTACTAATTTTATTATTATGTCGTTATTAATATTTCTATTATTAAACAATTCTTATTATATATATATATTTTATTATATTATATATAATTAATAAATTATTATATATAATTGTATATATATTTTATTATATATATATTATTGAATCTTACACTATACCAGAATGATATAACTCAAATTTCTTTTGCCTTATTTTCCGCCGGACTTGCGATCTAACCTTATTCTGTACGGCCGGTAAAGCATGCCCCTGCCGATAAATAAATAGGCAACCCGACTTACTGATCTGTATGTTGCGGAAACACCCTGTACAAATCGTACCACTTGCATCATGACCAGTATACGGACATCTCAAATAAAAAAACCTAACTTAATTCAATATGACTATCAGTGAGTATATCAATGTTTCTGGGGTCGTTGAATTCGAATCTGTGGTCAAAATAAAAAAGTTCAAAATGGCGGATCCAAGATGGCGGGCAATTTTTTAAAAATTAATCGGATTTGCCTGAAACTTGTTACTCGAGGGTTTTTGGAGTCGCTGAATCCGATTATGATATTAAAATGTGAAAATTAGAATATCTAGTTGGTCAGACATATTAGTTCCCCCATTCTAAATTTTGGAAAATTTATCGGAATTTGTCATAACTTTTTCATTTTGACCAAAAACTTGGTATACTCACTGATAGTCATATTGAATTAAGTTAGGTTTTTTTATTTGAGATGTTCGTATACCGATCATGATGCAAGTGGTACGATTTGTATATTGCCCATATACGGTAGAGGAGGTAAAAAGTGTTTTTAGGAAAAATGAAAACATACGTGTTCACTATTTTTTCATGCTTTATAAGTGTGCAAAGTTTTATTCCGATTGATGAGTGACAGTTGGGTAGCTTTACTTGTAAGAAGATTTAAATACGCCATTGCCGTTTTAACGACCTAAAATGTGAGAAATTCTTATAAAATACTTTTTTCCAATTCTTTATTAACATATTGTCTCTTACGTTGCCAAATGTTCTAAAGAAAAAATTAATAAATTTTTTTCCTCTAATTTTTGTCGGAGAATTCGACATGATTAAAATCAACGCTTGCGTTTTTGCATCCGGAAGACGATACCATCTTAAAGTGCACGCTTTTAATGCTACTTCCTCTCCCTTAATTAACAAATTACATGTATGAAATTGAAGATGCACATCTCCAACATTAATAAATAAAAACTAATTATTTATTGCAACAATGATTGTAACAATTAGATATACGTACTTTTGTCGAAAGTTGCTCGCCGATGAAGCAAAAGATAAATATGTTGAAACTAATCGATGTAAGGCCGATGATATACGAACATATGGCCACGGTATTCTTGTCTTCCCATTCCTGTAAATTCAATGATTATTTCAATTTTTATGTAGAAATATTAAAAATTGTTCACATTTTATTAAACATTGTTTCGCACTTTAAAATTAAATTATTTTTGCGTACCAAAATAATAAAATATCCGAGGAGACATACAATTATAGTGCATCCTACAACTTCTAGCTGACTTGTATATTGTATTGTATTTTGTACTAATTGCAAGAAACTATAAAGCACAATGTAAAAAAGATGTAAATTTTAGTGTAAAAATATACAATTAGCCGCAATAAAGGTATTAATTAGAACGCAACATTTAATTTTTACATACATTTTAATATAACAAACCAATTAAAATATATCGAATCAGGTATCAATATCAAAATGATCGAACCAAGAGAGACGCTTGTGACAATCGACTTACTTTCGCGTTTTAATTTGATGCTTTACAATAATAGCCAATTTGTCATTTATGTTTTTCAGCTCAGACTCGTTCACCAAATTGTTCATTAGCGTCATCAATATTTCTAGTTGTGCGCAAATGTGTATCACGCAAAGACTCGCGAGACCGCACACCGCCGTTGTAATCGTGCATTTGACAAATCCCGAGAAAAATTGCATAAGAAATTTGATTTTACAGGCGGAACTGAGCTGCACGTCAAATAGAATAAAATGAGTCGGACACGGCAAGTGCCTAATCGTAAAATTCTGATCAGTCACGATCTTCCCTCGAGACAACGGTATGATCGTTCGAAAGGACACCCCGGTGGAATACATGAATATACCGCATATTACGAGTAAACGTCTGCCTGTTCTGGTCTTGTCGATCATTACATCGCGATCACTCGAGTTGGCGACGTTTCGCCAATCCTCCTCCACTCGCACGAGACAATTTCTCACTTGGTTCCTGCCGAACAGCAATTGGCCGTATTTGATCATCGTCACCAAGGTGAACATCACAGTGGCTGTAACTTTGAGTCTCGCGCGGATCTCTTTTTGGATAATAGTCATGTAAAGAATTGCTGGTATTAATTCGCAGGTGAGAAGAATGTAAGAGACAAAGATTATGAAAATTCTCTTGAGCGTCTCCGGAAACCAGGATTTCGTTCGCGCGTACGGCCAGACGCGTAGTAGACAAAAAACAAAGCAACTTAACTCGAAAGCGTAATTTATGTCGCGTTCGTAATTTTTATTAGTAAACATCTTGCGATGTTGATTTAATCGATGCAGTTGGTGAAAGGATGCCTGCTCATTCGCCACTGATCGCAGTTGATTTGGTGACCGATGCAAGAAAACTCGCATGCGCTTGCGTATAAGAAAAATCGTAAAGCCACGTCGAGCAAATTGCTAACATTGCGTGTATAGAAACTTTGAAAAGAATATAAGTGCAGGCCTATTTTTATTTTGCTACATTGTGCGGAGAAAAAGATTTTTCCCTGTCAAAAACTGCGGAAGGGTTAATGTACTAGAAAGAAAGTTTATCGTAATAGTGATGTAAGACAGAGATTTAAATTTTATGACTTTTTTTCTAAAAAAATATAAAAGGTATAATATATATAAAATATTTTATTCTATTTGTATATCATAAATTAATCTGTGAAAAATTTAAGATAATACTAACTATAATTATAATAATATTATATTTATTCTTTGAATGCTTAATTACCTTCTAATTATTATTATTTATTCGTATCAATAATAAATTTTCTAATATATTAAAATACATATATATACATTGCTTTAAAAAAAGTGTATTGTTGGAGTTTTTTAACTTCTTTTACTATTTATTCAGTTAGTTGTCGAAGTATATTTAAATAGATTACAGCAGATTTAATTACCTGAAATAATTTTTGTAAATCTTCAAAATCTTTAGACATTTATATCAACCTATTATTTTTAGTTGAAGATTTGTTTCAAATAATCCATTTACAAATAACTCTACATCTTACATCACCAAATGTTCTGAAAGACAGCTCCATGAATTTTCCAGCGGTAAGTCGTGGCGAAACGTTTGAAGCAACTATCACTAATATCATATCTCGCGCCGTATTTATTGGAAGACGATACCAATCGAGTGTGCAAGAAGTCCAGCATATTTCTTCTGCCTATTGTAAATAATTGTGAGTGCTTTATACGTAAAAAGTAGCATTCCCCTTTTTGCTTTAAAAATTAGTAAAAATATTTTGCAAAAATTATATTTAAAATTAAAAAATTCGAGATATTATTAAAGTTTTAGAGACACACATTTATGTAAATAAAATACATATATACTGTGTGTATAAAAATAAATTTTTTAAATACTATTTTATTGTGCTTTACGTTTAAAAAAATCGTATTTTATCGATCTTACTATATCGAGGGTTTCATAACAGAAGGGCGTATTCCCAATTAAGTAATTAATATCCCAATTTTTAGGAATTAATATTTTGCAAATCTAGAAATATGCTTGTATTCTTAACTCTTTTTCTTCGTATCTAAAACGTATGTAAATTGCATTTCTATGTGTAAAATTTGAATTTTAAAACGGTTTTTCTCGTCTCTGTAAGCTTCGATTTCGAGTTTTTGTCCCTATGTGATAAAACCCTCGATATATTTAAAACATAAATAATATATATATATATATATATATATATATATATATATATATATGTGTGTGTAACAAAATTTTACCTGCGTTGTTATATATTCTCCCATGTAACATAAGATAAAAATATTAATAAAAACAGCTATAAGAGATTCTACATAAGTAAGAATGGCTACTGCGTTATTATCCTCCCATTCCTGAGAACAAAATTAATTTGTTTTTACAATTTACAATGTATTTGTCAAAAGCTCTTGAACAAAACAAATTTATTTTTCGTACCATTATTATACAATATCCTACAAGACATATGATTATAGTGCAACCCACTATTTCGACTAAGTTACTATAGCGTAAAGTATTCTCCACTAGTTGCAAGAAACTAAAATGTACAAACAAACACAATTTATCAGTAAAAATTGAGAAAAAATATAATCATTTAATATCAAGTTATAAATTAAGAAATGTATGCGTACGCGCGCGTGCGTGTGTGTGTTTTCTAATATTATTAATGAAACAATAACATATAATATTAAATTGTAATTAAAAAATTATGGATATTTATGTAGAAATTTTAAATCTTTAATTTCACGTAACATTCGTGAAAAATAAAATGTCTTAAAATGTAGAACTCACTTTCGTATTCTTATCTGATGTTCAACTATGATAGCCAATTTTGCAGTGGTATTTTTTTTATCCAATTCACTCTCTTCAACAAAAATCTCCATCAAGCGCATTAAAATCTGCATCTGGGCGCACGCGTGCATCACAAAAAGCGCGGCGAGACTGCAAGTTGTCACCGTGATCGTGTACATGACGAAGCCGCAAAGGGCCTGCAGGAGAAATACGATTTCGTAAGCGGGACTATTCTGCGGATTAAAGAAAACGTAATAACCGGGACAGGACAGCGGTCGAATCGTGATGTTCTGATCGGTGACGATACTTCCTTGCGACAGCGGCATTATCATATTGTAACAGAGTCCTCCACCGTACATGAACGTGCAGCACAAGATGAACAATCGTCTTGCGGTGTTGGCCTTGTCCAGCATCATTTCTCGCGCACCATCAGTAATTATTATTTCCCAATCTTCCTTAATGTGTCGCAGACAGCTCCTGATGTCGCACTCGTGACTAATCAAATTACTGTATTTGGCAATCATCATGATTGAGTATAAAACTGGCGGCACCATTTTTATTTTTTCGCGTGTCTCATTATCGACAAACACGTAATAAAGAACACCCGGTACGATATCGCATTGGAGAAAAAAGTAGCAACTGATCATGACAGTAATATTTACAATTTTCTCAATTGTGTTCGGCCGTCTGTCAATCGATGGCCAGATACCAAGCATGCAAAGTACAACGTAATTTTGTTGAACAGCATATTTTACATCTGCCTGATGATGTTTATTAAGAAGCATACTGGTTTAATATTTTTTATCATTAACAACCAAAACGACGGTTCTTTGTTATTTGAACAATTGAAACAATATTGATACAGATTGATAGTAGAACAAAATCGACGTAAGAAAAAATGGAACTGAAATTCTTAGTTGACCGTTGAAGTCAAAGTAAAAGATTTGTTAGATTTGCATGTAATTTAATTTTGCCAGCGGTAACTTGATTTGTGCATACAAAGTATGGCTCTTAGCGAACTTGCGCTTGCGTGCTTTAAAAATTAAGAAGTTACATGGAAGAGGCAAGATAATCGTTGAAGAAAGTTTCACGGATGATCTTGCACGCGACACGAGTTTTCTACAGACATATGTGTAGTAGTAGACTGCGCATGGAAACTTTGACTTTGTAACTTGAACTACGAGAGTTGTTTCAGCATTTATTTTTCAAGAGAAGAAAGACATTTTGCTTTGGCTTTATCGAGCAACATTGTAATATATTCGTTTTTATTGATGAGAATTTTTACTTATCTTTATCAATAAAATCATTATTTTCATCATAACGCTTTGATTTGAAATATTACTCTCTATTTCTTATTTATATTTTACAGGTTTTACTTTTTTTTATAATAGACATTTTCTAAAGGAAAATAATTTATTTAATTATTATTAAGTGCTATTCTAACACGTGTACTATCTGCCAAAGCAGTTATAATAATTTTTTATCGTAGATGCTAGGCATAACAGCAATTTTCAAAATATCGTCTTATCACGCCGTATCTCAGGCTTTCATATCATTTCGTGAGTAAAATTCATGGAACAAATTGAAATACGCCAGTGACGTCTTTAAGATCTACAGCATAATATTCCGTTTTCAAACATTGGAAATATTAAATATTTTTAGATACACAATTTATTCGGACAGTTTACAAAGACTTATATAAGAATTTGCTGACACAATCACATCGATTAACTCCAATCTCTTATTATTGTAATTGTATAAAACTCGAAACTGTGAAACAGTCTTATATATTGCATTTACAGCACAAAGCAATATTACTCACGTCAGAGAATGTGGCTAGGGTCATCGACAGCAGTTTTCCGGCGGTGAGCGTCGCAGGATACCGGGACATTGCAATCGGCATAATTAGTTCAATGGCTTTTTTAGGAGGCATTCGATACCATTCCATTGCATAGCATGCGGTTCCCACGTTCTGGCAGCATTCTTTGAGCAAATCACCGATGTAGCAGAACATAAATATGTTAAAAATAATTGACACAAGGCCGAAGACATACATAAAGATCTGTACAAACGATTCGTTATTGTTTAAATCCTGAAAAGCGGAAAAGATTAATATTCGTTGCGATTGACAATGCTGATGTTCGATTTAAAAATCGAGATGTCAATGCAACAATCTCCTAAAATCACTTGAAATGTCTAAAGAAGATATCTAACGTACTATTATGATGTAGGAGCCAAGGAGACATATGTTGCACGAGGCGTTTATGAATTCCACGAGGCATATTTCGGTAAATAAGCCACTTACATTAGAAACCAATCTAGAAAATTTCAGAACGCGTAAAAAATTTAATGTGCGTATATAAAATATACTATAATATCTATAACAATTGCGATGCAGTGACAGAATATAATGGTTTTAGCGATGATGTTATTTGACTTACTTCAGTAAACGCAAATGTCGAGTTACCGCGGTAGCGATTCGGCTGTCGATTGGACCATTATTGTGCTCGCCACCATCAACGGTTTCTTCAAAAATTGACACTAACACGTCACACTGACCGCATACATGCATGACGAAATTGGCGATCAAACTACAAATACCGCAGAATGTGCTGTAGGCTGTATAGCCGCAGAGAAATTGTAAAAAGTACGCAATTTCATATACAGGACTAGCCTATGCAATGATAAATTAATTTATATAAAAAACATAATAGCTATTAATTAAAACATTAATGAAATATATTATTTGTGAACAGAAAATGACTGATCAGGATTAACTCCAACTCATCCCCGATTGAGTTGGAAGCTTTACCTGACAATCGCACACAATCAGCTCGCAGGGTGACGGATGCAATCTTACAGTCATGTTATCTTCATCAATCGTGTTCAATGAAACTATAGGCAGAGTGTAATACAGCGCACCACAGCTGAACATAAAAGCTACGGAAAAAGTGCCGAATGTGCGGCCCATTCGAGCATTTTCCAGCATGATTTCTCGATCCTTAGGAATTATGACGCACTGCCAGTCATCAGCTACGTGATCGATGCAGGACCTCAGCTGCTCCTGATGCCACACCAGCAGAATATATCTCGCAAAGACCGTCATTGTAAAGAATAAGGGGCACAAACGGAGAATCAGGAAGACGCTCCACTTCTCTTTCATAGTATCGGCAATCCACGGCGCGATGGTGAAAGTGAAGAGAAACAATGCGATTATCATCGATACTTTGTGCGTGATAATCTTGAATCTCGAGGTCTCATCATTAGCCAATGGCCAAGCACCGATTGGCTTCAATAAACGAACGCTTATCTGAACGGCATAATAAAAGTCCGAGGCGTGTGATTTATTTTGTTCCGCTACGTCGACAACGAACGCACTTTTCTGCTTTCTTTCGACCATGTCTGGTAGATGTAACACCGGTGACAATTCAATCTTCACTAGCGATCAAAAAGATCAGAATAACGCAGATTTCTATTACGAAGCATGCGCGGCCTGATCGATAAGCTCTCCGTTCTTTGTGAACAAAAGTCGAGACTTTCATGACTCGCAATTTGCATTTTCTAATACATTCGGTTCAACTTATGGGAAAAATAGCAGATGAGATTTGAATAAATCAAAAAGATAAGAAGATGACAATGCTGTCGTCATGACATGATATCGGCGGAAACTTATCAAAGGATAATCGTAAAGTTATATGTAACTCTGATATTTTCTAATTTTTTTCTTGCAAAAACTCTGAAGCATGTTGAATGTAAAAGTTTTTTTACAGCTCTGTATGTTTCGTTACTTTCATATACTTCAATCTTATATGTTTGTAAGCTATATATATTATATATTACTTAGCAGGACGCATACACTTCTAAAAATATTAATAATTTTTACGCGATATCTTATTCTATTCTGTTCAATTATTATACTTTGCCAAGAATTTTTTTACCGTTGTATATTTACATAAAATCCCGCGAAGAAATTTCGCGAAGCAAATTTAAATATGCCATTGATGTTTTTAAAATCTAAAATATATTAGTATTTATTAATGTTCGAACTTTGGATCATTATTAATAAAAAAATACTGATAATAAAATAATGCATTAGAAACACATGTATTGTAAAGTTGATGTAAATATTAGCATACTTACGTTAGAAAAACTATCCATAGTCATCGTCAGCATTTTTCCGGCAGTAAGTTCAACAGAATAAGCCGATTGAATTGACCTGAATATCCAAAAAAATCAACTCGCTGGGACTTGGAAACGATCTAATCGTCACATTGTTTTCGTCAACGGCAAATGGCAGCACTAGTGGCATCAAGGTGTAAGGTAAGCCGCCGCTGAACATGAATACCACTGATATTATGCCAAAAAAGCGTCCTGATTTGGCGTTTCCTCGCATGATCTTGCGATCTTCGATCTTCGACACGTTACACCAGTCTTCAGCAATGCGATCAATGCACAATTTAATCTCATCTCGATGAAAGAGCAGCAAAAGGTATCTCATAAAAATCGTAATTGTAAATATTAACGGACACGCGGTTCTTAAAAACTCGTAAAAGCTTATTTTTGCGGTGATTATACATATGGTCTCCGGGACGATCGTGAACAGTTGAATAAACGTGGTTACCAATAAGCCATGCACGATAGTTTCCTGCCTAGTAGCATTGCTGTTGCAATGGCCAGGCACCGATCAGTTTCAATAGCCAAAGACTGACCTGTGCAGCATAGTAAAAATCTACAAGCTGCTTATCATCCTGCACAGAATTTGACTCGACCATAATTACAGCGATTGTTTGCGTTGGATGATATCTTAATGGCAACTCGACGGTGACTGACAGTGTGGCTGATGGGCACAAAGTTGATGGTAAACATGTGCAAAATGCATTTAACTATTTTCTGAACATAATGATTAAAACAATTATTTGTAACTTGAACTTTATAGAATGTTACGATGAGGTTGAGAGAAAAGTACAGCTGTAGACACAGAGCGAGGGGATACTAATGATACGTCGAGAAAAACTTGAAAACATAGGGAATGCACCCTTGCGCGGTTGCAAAATTGAACGACGACTGGGGCTTCGCAGTTTGACCGCGTCTTTTTCTGCGAAAAAGGAAGATCGTACCTGATTTTTTATACATATCATGATACTAACTGTTATTCTAACAGTAATAATATGTTAGTAACACGATTTTATATTATATATTTAATTTATAAATGTTGTTCATAGCTAAATAATAAATTTGAGTAAGATGACAAGTGTTATATTTGTGGTTGTGGGTAAAGGTAAGAAATTAATATGTTTTGAGCGAAATATTCAGTATTTCAATAGATAATCTTAAAAATTACGCTGCAATCATTCGAATAAAATTGAGGTATGCCGCTGATGTCTTGCATACCTGTAAACATTTGTAGTCAAATAGTATGTCTAAATTTTCAGATTAGTGTTGATTAAAAACTAAAATTACTTACATCGCAAAAACTTTGAAGAGAAACATCGAACATTTTAGCCGCTGTCAAAGTTGACGGACGATTTGATCTCATCATTATCATAATTAAACCGCTCACGTTTTTTGTTGGTAACGCATACCAATCAATAAAATACGAAGTGTCTCCGATTTTTCCACTCTTTGTTACAACAAAAAATGTAAATCTCAAATGTTAAATTAATATGACTATGAAATTTGTCATTTGTAAAAATAATAACTTGTGAAATCTACCTCTTCTTTAAGACGATCGCCAATAGTTGATAAAGTAAAGACGTTTACTAAAATCGAAATAACTAAAATAAAATAGATAATTGTGCCTAATACTTGATTGTCTTCCCATTCCTGAAATATATTTAAATAAAAAATAAACATATATACTTTGACAATAAACTAATCAATATGTTAAAATACCTTAAGAACTCCATACTCAAGAAAACATATGATAATAGTGCATCCAACCATTTCCGATAAAAAGACAAAGTTCAATGATTTTTCGATCATTTCAACATATCTGCAATAAATATTATCATAGAATAAAAATAAATATAAGTATTATAAAGCAAATTAATAAATAAGAAACAAATAACATAATAATTATTTAACAAGCATAATTAATATAATAAATGTTATGAAAAATAATTCTAGATTTAATCACTTTCAAATATTGTTATATGAGATAAATAATAGATTTCTTGTGTACTATTTTTGCAAATAAATTCTATTATTTATCTCAATATTACAACAATATTTGATAGTAATTAAATCTAGAAGTATTTTTCATAATTTTTATCATAATTACACTTGTATACAATTATTATTTTTATATGAAACTGACATTCTTTCTCATACCAGTAAACGTATATATATCGATAATATTAAGGATATATTTAATAAAATAATCACAAAATTTTTCTTTACCTGAGAGCTCGCATGTGCTGCGCAATTATCCGACCAAATCGTTCGTGAATGCCGTCAGTTCCATTAACTAGCACAGTTTCCATATGTCTGCGAGCAATTTCAAACAAGCAGCAAGCGTGCATTACACAGGTAGCTATTAGGCTGTAAACGCCACAATTCGTAGATAAGATCATGGTACTGAACAGAATCTGCGTGACGAAAAGGATCTCGTAAAACGGTGAATTTTCCACCACAAAGAAGATATAGTCGCTGAGATATGGCAGAGGCAGATGCGTCGAGTTGTCCTCCGTGTTGACAATCCTGTCCGCCACCAGCGGCATAATTATGTGATAAGGCAACGCGCCGCCGTACAGCAAGCCCAAGTACATAATCGTGAATTGCCTGCCAATTTTGGCATTTCTCACCATTATTAATCGATCCTCTTCGCTTTCCACGTCTCTATATTGGATGAGCATCTGCTGCAGACAACACTTGATGTCGTTTTTATTGATGATCATCGTCCAAAATTTGATAATTCCCAACAAACTAAACACTTGGGCGGCTATCACTTTCATGTATCTGGTCAAATCTTCCGCATCAAAAAAGGTATATATAATGTGCGGTACGAGTAAAAAACACATTAAGCTAAATGTAAAGCTTGTTTGAAAAAAGTATTTGATTTTATCAAATGTGGAATCATTTCCGTAAAGAGGCCAGATACCGACAGGCGTTAATAGGATCTTGGCAATTTTTACCACGTACTCCGCGTCAGATCTGTAATTAAAATTTCGAAATATCGTACCGCGATTGTCCGACGACATACCCGAGATTTTTTATTTACAAATGTTCTACGCGTTTTATCCCCGACTGAGAAATTGCACGCGATCTCTGAGAATTATTCGTAAGCGCCTGCGTGTAAAAAGTTTGTCGCTCCGTAGCAACTTTGCATTATATAATGCCTATCTTCTCAGAATCGCTGCAACTTTCAGTGGGAAGGAAAATGTGTACGATTTCAATGATTACGCAGGCGCTGTAAGATAAGAAGCGTCCTGCCTGGAAGACAGAGGTTTACTTTACGTTACGCTATCATAAGCAAAAGCATACAGTGTTCACAACGTATTTCTATGTATTTCTATGATTTTAAAGTTTACAATGTGAAATTTAATTAAAAATATCTTTTGTATACATTTTTAAATTAATTACAAAGGTATATTATTACTGAATATTAAGTATGTTATTTGTAAATTGATAAAACTTTCAAAAACAAAAAATTTCTTTGACACATTGGAAATAAATCGTATTCTTTAATTATGTTTAAGAATAGCAAAGTGTTTATAATAGATATATTTAAAATTGTAATATTATTCTATAAAATCATAATAATATTTAAACAAAATTTTAATAATAGTTTGGTAAACTCACACAATTTTATAATACTCTATATATTTTTAATTGTGATAAAAGTGTTTAATCTACATTTTCACGCAAATATTTAACTTTGTTTGAAGAAGATCTGAACAAGTAATACATTCGATTTCATATGAATGTTAAAAGATGCCGATATACTTATATAAATTTTATAACAAGTTTAATTGGACCTGTTCAATGTTTCAATATTTTCATCAGCGCCATACCATCTGCACCGGTGAGTAATTTTATTAACTAATATTTTTTATTAACAAACTGCGCTTGGTAATTTTACTGCAATCATGATGATTACATATAGAAAGCATAGTATTATAGGTATAGTTTTTGATTATTCGCGATTTACGTTTTGTAAAACTTCTGGATAAAATTTGAGGGAAAATAGAAGTTTTGGGACAATAATAAAGCTGCAATAAAAGTTCTGAACAAAGAATAGATATTATACTATTGCAAAGTTAGACGTAACTCAAAATTGTAATTCGAATAAATTTCCTTCGAACAAAAGGGAGAATCATGAATGGTAACATTATGTCTAAAAATGACACATAATGTTTAAATAATTTGTAGTAGTACAATTTATTATTCGAAAAAGAAGTAATTGTTTCGGTGATGTTAAACATGAAAAATAATTGAACCGTGTTATTTCAACAAAATAATGATCAAGCATTTTTTATCTTACATATATCTTATATCTTCTATTTTATATAATTAATATCATCTTACACAATCAATATTTTTTTATCATGCAATATTTGAAAATTTACGTGGTCATTGTTCGAATAAAATTGAAATATGCTGCTGATGTTTTGCAAACCTATAAATGCAAGCAATACGTATGGCTAATATTACATTTGTCAATTTTTGAATGAAGATTGCAGCAAACGTTATAGAATACTTACCTCGCTAAATCCTTGAAGAGAAAGATCAAATATTTTTGCAGCAGTTAAAGTTGATGGACGGCTTGACCTGACCATCACCAAAATTAAATTGCTTATAATTTTTGTTGGCAAATTATACCACTCGATGAAATATGACGTTTCTCCTACCTTCTCGCTCTTTGCAACCGTAAGAAATAATTATTTTATTAATTAATTAGTTATATTGTTTAAACATTTTTAACTGGTATTTGAATATAAAATATTCATTTTCTTATCATTGTAACTGATGTATTATATATATATATTTTTTTTCTTTTTAATTCTGTATTAATATAAAATTATTTTGCAGACTCTCTACCTCTTCTTTAAGACGATCGCCGATAGCGGATATTATATAAACATTTACAAATATTGATGTCATTAGAACAAAATATGTACCCATGTTTAAGACCTTTCCATCTTCCCATTCCTAAAGTGAATTTGTGAAAATAAAATTAATAAAATTTAATTTTATTTAATTAATAAAATTTTATTTTATTTAATTAATTTTAATTACACTAACAAAAATACCTTAAGAACTCCAAATTCCAGAAAACAAATAATAATAGTGCATCCAACCATTTCGCATAAGAAGACAATATTTAACGATTTCTCAATCATCTCTGCGAATCTATAATGTATTTTATCAATCAAATAAAATTAATATAATTAAAATGTATAAACATATTTTTTTCCATTTTAGTTGTTAATAATTTATCACTGCATTACATATGATTTAATTTAGAAAAAAAACAGGGTAACAATTTACAGGATCATTAAAAAGATGTCCGTTGAACTTTTACCTGATGGCTTGCATGTGATGTTCGATGATTCGTCCTAGCCGCTGATGAACATTATCTATTCCATCGCTGAGAACCGTTTCCATCTGTCTGCGAACTACTTCGAACAAGCAGCAACTATGCATTACACACGTGGCGATCAAACTGTAAACGCCGCAATTTGTAGATAGAATGATGCTGCTGATTAGAATTTGCGTCACAAAAATAATCTCGTAGAGCGGTGAATTTTCCACCACAAAAAAAATATAATCGCTGAGATATGGCAAAGGTATCTGCGTCGTATTGTCCGCTTTGATTTCTCTGTCTGCCAGCAGCGGCATAATTATGTGATAAGGTAACGCACCGCCGTATGACAATCCTAAGTACGTCACCGTAAAAAGTCTGCCGATTTTGGCACTGTTCGTCATTACCAATCGATCTTCTTCACACTCGACATCTCGATATTGCATCTCCATTTGCTGCAAACAGTATCTGATCCCTTCTTTATTAATAATCATTGTCCAGAACTTGATGATGGCGAGCAAGCTGAACACCTGAGCGGCTATAACCTTCATGTATTTGGTCAGATCCTCCGCATCGAAGTAAGTGAATACGACGTGCGGAATGAGCAGGAAACACATCAGGCAAAATATTATACCTGTCTGTATGAATGTCTTAATTTTGTCGGATGTTGAGTTGCCACGATACAACGGCCAGATACCAACGGGTGTCAACAGGGTTTTGGCTACCTTTACCACGTACTCGGTATCGGACCTATAATTAAGGTTCCGAAATAGCGTGCGGTCGTTATTCTCCGTCATTACTCGGAATTTTTAGTTCGTAATTGCTTGATCACACTGTATGCTTACACCCCCGACAACTGACGGACACGAATGTATTCCGCGAGAGTCAAACCGCGGGCGCGTGCGTGCAAAGTTCGCCTCCTTGCGACAATTTTCTGCGGACAATTTGCGAAAATTGTAGAAACTTCTAATGGTAAGGAAAATTGTGCAATTTTAGTAGCAACGCATGCGCTGTGATATGAGAAGGCTTTGAATTCTTTGTGTCAGAGCTTCAGTCTTCCAACCTGTCTAACAATGTGAACATCTTTCCAAACAAAATCGTCAAGAATGTAAGTAGATTTGTATCAATCAGAATAACTTGACAGTAATTTGCTTATCATGAGATTTTTAATATCTATCGTGCATTTGTTTTAAATGATGTGATTTTATGGACATAAAATGGTAATACAAATAATTTTCGACAAATTTGTAAAATTATTGTGAAATTTGCAATTATCCGTAAAATAATTATTGCATTTTCTAGCATATTGAGCAATATACAAAAGTAATGATTCAAGTACACACTCAATATCTACCGATTTATCTACTGATAAGACATTGCATTTTTTTTTTTTACATTTTTACGAAGAATGGCGAAGCAATATGATTTGCAGCGATTAGCGCAGATTGTCAAAGTAATTCCAGTAGCAATTGTAGTAAAGCCAACCGTCGTACTTCATCATGCAGAGCGATGAAAATAGTAAGTGTTTATTGTTAAAATCTCGACAAGTGTCGAAATATGCGTGTGCGGTATTTTACAGGCACAATGTGGAAGATGCAGAAAAATACGATGACAATGTTCGCGGCAGAGATTGTCGGTACAGGTGTTCTCGTATTCTTCGGTTGTATGGGGTGCATTGGTGCCATGGGGCCTGCACCACCTCCTCCACTGCAGACAGCATTAACCTTTGGCTTGACGGTGAATCTCATAATTATGGTATGTTATCACATAATTAACTTGTGCAAATCCTTATATATGATAAATAACCTAATATATGATAAATTTATATTTATTCTTAACAATTTAGTCTTATTGTTATTTTTATCTCAATATATATTTTTAACAATAGATAAATTATTATAAATATCTTTTTATAATAAAATAGCACATATTTTTCATTGATATACGCGATATAACTTCTACAATATTAATAAAATCAAGATGTAAATAAGCATTTTTTATTTATTGTATAATTTTATATATATTGCCAATACAACTTGTTAGATGTTAGGCCATGTAAGTGGAGCTCATGTTAATCCAGCGGTCACTATTGGTGCTGTCATCATTGGTCTGAAATCAATTCCGACAGGCGTAATTTACATCCTCGGCCAGTTTATCGGCGCCACTATAGGATATGGAATTTTAAAAGTGCTTTTATTTTTTATTATTATAATAGTAGTTTATATATAAAAACGTGATTAATATTTATGCAATTTATAATTTATATTTTGACAGATGATAACACCAGCAGAATTGTTCAATGATGGAAACCTGAATTCGACTGCTGGTGTTTGTGTCACGGTTGTCCATCCGGGAATAAGCAGTCTGCAAGGTGTATTAATTGAGGTGTTTTGCACAAGTTGTTTACTTTGTGCAGCTTGCGCCACGTGGGACTCTCGATGTGCTCATACCACGGATTCGACAGCCCTCAAATTTGGTCTTTCAGTCGCTACTATATCCTTTGCTGCGGTAAAACTGTTCTTCACACCGCATTTTTTCCTTTTTTATATTATTATGAGAAAAATTCAATATATTAATTATATATACTTATTATAATATATTAATCATTTATTACTATTTACGTCTTTTTTATGAGTTAACAATGTTTAACAAAAACTGTCTGCCAATATACATGAGTAATTTTTTAATAGAAAAATTATTTAAATGAAAAGATTATTTACATATTATTTGTCCATCATAAAATTTTCCGAAAAGATGTAGCATTAAAAAAAATAATAAAATTTTTTCCTCTCTGTCTAGAGTCCTTATACTGGATGTAGTATGAATCCAGCACGGTCATTTGGTCCTGCAATCTGGAACAGTGCTTGGAAAGATCAATGGGTATGTTAAAAAAATTAAAATTCTATTAAATATATTTTAATATGAATAAAAGGAATAAAAAAGGGTTTAAAGAGAGAAATGTAGAGTACGGTGTAATAAAAACAGAATATCAATTTTTTATAAAAGAAGATAAAGAGTTTCGTAAAAGAAGGTTTTATAAAAGAAGATTATTGCTATTTATTTGTTATAAATTTTACAAAGTTTACAATAATATTTTTTTCATTTTTTATTTATATTTTATATTGTATTTTATTTTGTTGTAAATTAATAGCACAACATTTCAAACATGCATGATACATAGAAATTTTCTTACGACATTTTAATCGGTCACAAGAATTTCTATAAGAAACTATACCTAGTATGTAGTATATGCGATAAAAAATACATATATAAGTATTCGATGGCATCACCGATAACAAAATTATCTATAATAATATATTTATCACTTTATTTAAACATCACATGTCAAAGATATTTCTAATCAAACGATAATCATTACATTTTGAGATTAAGGAAACGTTATGTAAAAGCATATCTAAGTATATTTTTAATTAATATTTTATGTATATAAATTATAAAAAATAATGTTTTTTATTCTTTGCTTTTTTTCTTTAATTTTTATTGTTTAATATTTTTGTTTTCTTAGATTTATTGGCTTGGTCCTATCATGGGAGCTTTGCTTGGAACATATGCCTATCAAGTACTGTTTGCTGAAAAACAACCAAAGACGAGGAAATCTATTTGTTTAACTGATGAGAAATCATTTGACATTTTGCTGCAATTGGACAAAGCATGCAATATATAAATGACGTACAAGTTAAATAATTTTTTAGTTTATAAATAAAAATATAATTAATATTACAAATTATCTACACTAATATAATTATCTATGACTTGATACACAATTATATTAATTCTTTATGATAATTATATATTCTTTCCTTTATATCATCAATCGATCATGCTTTCTTTAAAGTGACTGCAAGTTTCTGCAGATGGCGGATGTAACTATAAGTCAAATCAATAAATATAATAATATAATTCTTTTTATATTATAAATTTAATATTAAATTTATCTAAAAATAGGAAAAAAGTAAATTAATGAGAAATATTTTAATGTGTGAAAAATTAGTTTTAATTTTTCTTATAATATTCTTAACAATGATTAAAATGATACTTATTTCTCAATATGGTTATTAATTAATTGAGATTTTAATTTATAATATAGTCGAGAAAAATGTATCTTGAAGAAATTTCTAAAATATTATAGAATTTACATATATTGTATAACTCAACTCTATTATATTTAATTCTTTTTCTTGAGACAAATAAAGATATATTTTGATTAGAACATTACACATTTTTGTTGCAATTTTTATACAATCTTGCACAAAATATTAATAATGCACAAAATCACAAATTGATAAGAAATCCCGACATTTCTCTCAAGGTTTTCTGGGTAAATATAAATTTATTTAGAGTAGCGCGAAAAGATTTTAGCAAAGGAAATAAAACCTTATATAATAGTTTATATTTAAAGCATATAAAATGAAATTTATTGAATTAATATAAGATATTAACGTTCAATTTGATTAGCGAAAGCAGTATAGTTTTAATGATGTAACTATTTGCAGGTAAAAAGTTCTACAGCAATAATAATCCTAATGTATAATGGATTACGATTACAGCTCGTATAATTTTACTGCAATTTATTCAATGCTTCGGATATACACCGGTTGTGCGAACATCACGTTACGAGGTTCATCAACCTTCACCCAGCGACACACTCTCCAGCACTCGGGACTTGGTCATGGATACGATCGATAACAGGGCGTTTCACGGATGTTTCGAGAACGCAAAACCGGACTGCATTCACACCTGCGTATCTCATGGATGTGAAACTGCTCTGCCCTGTGGTAGTATACTTACAGCATTGTTATGTAGGCAAGTGTCATAGGCAGATTGTTGCAAACCGGCTGTTGTCGACCGGTCAACTTGGAGAAACCGGAATTTGATATTTCAAAGAAAGAGAAAGAGAGAGAGAGAGAGAGAGAGAGAGAGAGAGAGAGAGAGAGAGAGAGAAAGAGAGAGAAAGAAAGAGAGAGATCGCCCAATGTATTTCGCCCTGATTGCAACATTATCTCAATGTGACTGTCGAGTTCAAGGTCGCGCGATACCGGTGAAGCAACTAAAATTAGTTGTTCGTAGCGGACAGGTTATCGTGTGCTCGGGGAAGCACGAAGCCACGGTTGAGAGTTCGTTATTTATGTAGCTGATGAGGGTAGCCATGTAGCCATGCAGCCACGTAGCCATGGTGCCTTGGTTGCGAGAAGAACTTTGTAACAGCTATCGAGGGAGAAAGGTTGCGGCGTAGTACTTTTTTTTTCTCCACGAAGTGAAGTTTGCACGCGGCTCGATTAAGACGAAGCAATTTTCGTTCCTGTTGCGTAATATGTGCACAGATGTTTACCCTTGTATGAAGATATTATGGCTGCGATGAAGTATAAACAACTTTAAGAGTTTATTATAGACGGGACGTGAGGAAAACGTTCTAACTATAAAGCTGTATTTTATTCTGCCACATTATAAGAGAAAATTGTTAAAAAAAAAATTATGCTTATATTATCAGTATAGGGCTACTATTTGTGTGGAAGTATTAATATGGATTGCAAAATTTATAATAAAGCATTATTTTTATTTAATCATCAGTATTTTTATCAATCAAAATGATCTATTAATCTTTATTGCGGTTTTTTTCTTAATCATGATACATAGATACATAGATACAATCATAAAAAGAAAAAAATAGATAAAATGTATCACAGATACGTTTATTTTGTTTAACGAAAGCAACGAACGTTTGTATATTTTCTACGCATTATATGTATATATAACTTGCTTCGTGCATTTATCGATTAGCTGTTACAGCTGTACTTCGAATGCCCTGGAACACGATGAGAACATCCAAACAGCAAACTTGCGTTTGTAACGATTTGTGCAGAATGTTTATTATATTACATTAATATTATGCAACAAAATCTATAATATTTCAGAAAAAAATCATTATATATAAATGATAGAGAATATAAAGAAATATAAATTAAAACTAATTTTTCGATGTATTCAAAATACATGACAAAATGTTTTAAAATGTTCGAGATAAAATTTATTATTTAATGCGCAATAATAGTATTCACAAATCTTATAAGGCTAAATCATTACTTATGATGAGAATACAAAATCATATATGTAGAGATTTGCATCTATATCGCGTATTCTAAATTTAGTTGCAAGGAGCATGCTCTATAAACGACTTACAATAGAATATTCAAAGCATACATCTTTCATAGCCGGAGTCTAATACTAAAAGTAAGTAGATTCGTTTTATTTAGTTGCTTTCTTAAGATAAGAGAAATGTGTTCTTGATTTTTTAATTGCAAATTAATTTGTTCCAGTGACCCATTGAAATTGGAAAAGAATACTTCGCTGGGAAAACTTATCAAGTGCAACTCATTTTGCTAGCAATGTGTTTGCTAACTGTAAATAATCATCGTTCAAACAAGTCGCTTCATCGAGATTGGGAAAAGAGATGTCGTTGAGAAAGTTCCCACAGATCATCACGTAGTTCTCGTTTAATACAACTATGTTGGCAACCGTCTACCTTCGCATTTCATTACGCCGTTCTGAATGACACCTGAATGTAACGAGGTATCGCACGGTACATTGTGCATATTTGTATGAAGTATATACGAGTAGTTCCGTTCACCCTTCCGTTGAATTTAATCCGCCGGCCGTTGTTATAGCGACCTACAAAAATCTTGCAAGGGAAAGATAAGTATCTGGCGCGCGACCCTTATGTACTTTTGAATAAAATTGCATTAATTGTGTCTACTAACAGAAGAGCGACCTTTGTCGGGCTGAAATACATTCTAGTCGGGCTAACGAGCGATATGAAAAGGAAATCGATAGAGCGGTACATGATATACGCCAAAAGAGAAGCGAACGTAATATTATGCAATCTACTTGTATTGCTATTTTTGTGTATTGGACATTTTGGTTGGTGTATAATTTAATGATCATATGTCGAGTCCATTACGATTCTCAGTATGAACGCAGATTAACTTTTTCTATAACTGCGCATCTTTTTGAGCAAACTTTCCATAGCTCACATCTGCTAATGCGAGGCGGGCTGGTGACAGTTGCGTAATGTTTGTCTCTTTAATTGTCGCTGGCAACTTCGCATTTGCATGGAAATTACTCTCTCACGTTATCGTCGTATCATGCATGAGTCAACCCGGCTTTCGTGTGTTTGCAAACATGTTGCTTCGCGTGGCTACTCAAGCCTCGAAACCGCGCCTTAAAATCTCGTAAAAATAGCTGTCATTCGCCTCGAGAACTGATAAAAAAACCACACCGGAACGGCTAGAAGGTCAACTCGAGCTGCTGCGCAGTAGGAAATCCTACCGTAACCGAAGAAACTACGCTCAACATTTTGATGCGGCGCACGCACGTGATTTCGCAATGTTAGATCACGATGTCCCTCTTCCACCCAATCCCCCTTCATTAACATCCACAAAGTATTCTCAAAAACAATTCTCTAATCTATTCGCTAAAAATTGTGACCTCGTTTCCAGCGATAACAGAATCCTCATTATCACATGTATACAAAGAATAATATGACTTCTGTCACATCTGTAATATCTTCTAATCGACATAAACAGTCATCTATACGCGCACACTTAAACTTCTCATATAAAAAGAATGGCGAAAACATAAGTAAGCCGAATCAAGGTCGCTCCGAACACACCACACTTTTGAAAAGGCCCACCACATAACTTTATTAATAACTTCACTATATAATAGAATCTTTCTTATCTGTTTCTTACAGGTTTTTCGAGTTACAAAACAAATCGGCGATATACACACAAGCCTCACAAGATCAGTAGGAAGATTATTCTAGCGTATATGCAGGCAGTATTATATCACATACCGGTTGACCATGTTAACGGCAGCGGATGCGGCGGGGGACGGCGGCGTTTGCTTGTGTGGGTTGGGCGGTATGGTGGGACCCAGGCTGAGCGAACGTGCCAGAAATCCCGTCGACCCGCTGGTCGGGCCGATCAATACTCGGCATTTGCTGATTTCTACGACGTAGTAGGCAAAAAACTCACCGGCAAATAAACCGGTCGGTAGATCTCATCACGGCGATGCCGAATATCGTAATTGCGAAGGGAACCAGGCCCAGCTAGGGCCTGAAACGATCGATCGCATGCAATTGCGCATTATGCGCAGCAGACGCCGCCGGTTCTCTAGAAGCTTCTCGGCGCTGCGACGCCGCACGCACGCGCCTATAAAAGGCGGCCGGCCGGCCCGTCTCGGCGCATTCGTAAATAAACCCTGGTTCAGTTTGGACGCAGCGAACACCCGAAGACCCCCTCACCCCTCACCATCAGTGTAACACACTTCGGCTTCTTATTTCGTCGAGACCGCCGGCACAGGAAAATGTAGGCGAGCGGGCACCAGGTGCGGAGCGCGACAGTTTACCGTAGGTATTCCCTTAATTGGGTTTTTTTATTTCTTTTATATTTGCTGAAGTAATATGCGATTGTTTAAGCTCTTAACACATTGATTTTAATTGAGATTGTGAACTCGAAATAACTGCTGTAAATGTTTTTTTTACAAATAGAATAATTATAATGTGTAAAAAAATTTTGGTGCTACTCCTTAATGAATGTGGATTAACTAAACATATATATAAATTATGATTAATATTTATTTAAACTGATATGGTGCTCTAATAATCTTTTCTATATCAAAATAATGTATGTTATTCACAAAAGTTTGATGTGAGTCAATGTGTTAATGTAG